CTCCCCATTCACTCTAATAAATACACTCACTCATACCAAACACATATTTTGACGGCTATTTGCACTAAAAAAAAATTCCTAATTCCCCTAATAAAGAGAACAGGAGACCCCAAAACTCGCTACCGTGTCCGAGAGCCATTCTTAAACCCGGCGGCATGACCGCACGCTCTCTATATGGAGCCAAGGCATGAAACGCCGCCATTATGTGGCGCAACCTTTCTATGTATAAGGAGCACCTGCCCGGACGCATGGCCTATTCTTAATCGGGTGAGGATGACCCTTCTTCTAAGAGTCAGATGCTCCTAGGGAATATAAATAATGTGATGTTCATATAAAGAGCTTAATTTTTAAAATTACAATGAATTTTCGACTGGGGCGTTTCAGAGAGAGGCGGGGAGCATAAAAATGTGTTTGTATATGTCTNGAGTAATCCTGTAAACGTAAACAGAATATTTTATATAGATTTTTTTTAATGAAAACTTAAAATCCTGCATTATTTTCCGGACAACCCGATACCAAATCCAAAATTATGTGATTACCGTTCAGAAATAGAGGCACCTAATGATATGCTCCAAATATAACAATGAAAAGAAAAAAATAGTCGATTGCATATTTCAAAACTGCCACTCAACAATAAAACAATTCTAAGTTTAAGTAATTCGGATGTGTATCATTCAGTTGTAAGATTCCTAAAAGAAATAAAACATGAAGTGTGAATTTTGTGTCCGAAAAGACGAACTAAATATAAATGACAGGCTATGGCTATATAGGCAAATGTAAAAAAACTTATGTTTGCATTACAGGATAACCCAATCCACCTGGTATTTTCTTAAATTACCTTTTCAAGTTCTTTACATAGATTGGAAACAAATAAAAACCTACATTTATCGAAACATAAAGACTGTATACTACGGCCTTCATTTGGTAATTGGGGGAATTAGGAATTTTTTTATTGCAAATAGCCGTTAAAATATGTGTTTTGTGTTTGGTATGAGTGAGTGTATTTATTAGAGTGAATGGGGAGGGGCTGTTGGTGATACATTGGCTCATTTATTAATTCAATTGTACAATTCTACCTAATTACAGTGATGATAGGAAATATAAAATCAAAAATTTTATTAAATTGGAATCAGGAATATTGTCATAGACGTTTTATAACTCATCATAATAAATAAATAGTTATCTAGTAAAATCTAGTTTCTTTGAAAGACCGACTCAGTCTCAACATTGCCAAGGACTGTGTGAACTGCTTTCAAAGAAATGTAAAACCATGTATTGAAACCTTAATTATCTCCATTTATAGGCATCTTTATGATTGTATTTCCCTAATGATGACCTTAAAGTTGGTCGAAAGTTGGCAGGTAACAACCGAATTTGTTTTTTCATCCAGATCATATCGAGATCGAGATTTTCGAGTTTTCTTGACAGACGTTTTCGAAATTTTATATTTTCGTTTGTAAATGGAGTACTTTTTTTTCATTATATGGTAATGTAATAAATTATTGATCTCTCATTTCTATTATAAGCTGATACCCATCATCATTTATTTATGTTATCTATTAATTTTTATCTATTGTTTTAATATTGTTATATATGGACTGTTGCTAATAGCTTGTTCTCTGATTTCAATGAAAAATTACTCAACATTTGCTTTCCTACTTAAATAAGTCTATTCTTTCATAAATTATATCAAAATCCTTAAGTTTAAAATTATTTTTCGTTGTTAATGTGTTTTAAAACTATTTCGAATTTAAAGTTCGCTGAAAAGTTTTCAAGATATGCACAATAATAAAATTTGCATACGAAATTAACAATTAACATCTTATAGAAATATTGGTTATGTATATTGTATAAATGGCAAATTATTTTTTCCGGGCGGGGGGGTTCTGTCAACAGCTAGTCCAACCCAACGCATGCAGTTCCAAACATGTTCATACTCACGTTCATTCTTAAATACTTTCATTACAACATACCATCCATTCGATTGGGTAATGGAGTACTCGATATTCCTCCATCACCCTTTTACACACATTATACAACTAACCTAATAGAGGGTCGATGGGGAATTCGATATTCGGACCCTCTCACATCACACATTCACGCTAATGAACACATTCACTCTCAACTAAGTGTACACAACTATTATTACTACATACAATAGAACTAACCCGTTTCATCCAAGAATCGGAACAGGGGTCCCAAATACTCGCTGCCGTGCTTAAGCACAATTTTCAAATCGGGTGGCACTCCTTCCCGCTCCCTGTATGGAGCCAAGGAATTAAACATTTCAATTAGGTGGGACACATCGAACAACCTTCTCCGCATGCCGGTCACACGCGTGGGCTTTGGCCCAAAAGTAAGTGTACGTGCGTCAATCACGCATTTTTTTCTTTTTTCTAGGGGCATCCGACAGCTTGGTCATTTCAGCCCCGAGCGCATGAGAAATATAACAACACACTTTCAATACGCATTCACAGCTATATACACTGTATTCATTCTATTTAGTACAAGCATACTTCATTCAATAACAAACTAGTCTAACTGGGGTCGATGGGGTACTTTTATAAACATTCCGCCATTGACCCAAGTCACATACACAGCTCGAGGGGCGATGGCGATGCAATTTCACCAACAGCCCCTCCCCATTCACTCTAATAAATACACTCACTCATACCAAATACATATTTTGACGGCTATTTGCACTAAAAAAAAATTCCTAATTCCCCTAATAAAGAGAACAGGAGACCCCAAAACTCGCTACCGTGTCCGAGAGCCATTCTTAAACCCGGCGGCATGACCGCACGCTCTCTATATGGAGCCAAGGCATGAAACGCCGCCATTATGTGGCGCAACCTTTCTATGTATAAGGAGCACCTGCCCGGACGCATGGCCTATTCTTAATCGGGTGAGGATGACCCTTCTTCTAAGAGTCAGATGCTCCTAGGGAATATAAATAATGTGATGTTCATATAAAGAGCTTAATTTTTAAAATTACAATGAATTTTCGACTGGGGCGTTTCAGAGAGAGGCGGGGAGCATAAAAATGTGTTTGTATATGTCTTCTTGTTCTTTTCGTTGTAATTTAACAAATTTCGAACCTGACAAGAGCGTGGCTAGTTAAGGAAATGGAGGAAAAATATAAGAGAGATGAAAGAGTCAGTGAGAAAGATGCATAAAAAAAACTCATAATCAGACTTTTCAATTCTAGGCAGATCTATCCAAGTGAGCAAAACGATTTCGTACCGGGAACAATTACCAAAAAAAATTACAATTAAACAATTAAAAATTATCAGGCAATGCTATGTGGCCTCTTTGGAATAAAAGTTTCTTACATCTATGCAATTTCGATCTGGTTTAATCAATTGTTTGATCTCGCTATCTCACGTACGTGGCAGTTACTCAGTTGGACACTTGCAACTCCATGTTTTAACTATTACCCCGTTACTTGCATTCCGGAATCCAGAAAAAATTGTTTTTTTGTTATGAACCCTCGAGGTGCCGGTGTTTTACAAAAAAAAATACCATTTTATATGTCGGGTTCGAACCTTAAATGATGAGGGCAATCCAGCCATGTCAACACCTTTAACCGTTGCGGCTACTTTCTCTACCTGGACAGCAGTAGCGAGGGACAGTTCGAATTTTAGTAGTTCTTTGCTGCAGTCGTAGAACATTGGTAAAAAATAGTTTATCGTTAAGTAATGAAATTTACGAGAGTTAATGCCGTGAGTTCAACATCTTTATAGTCGTTCTACATTTCCACCAGGAAGAAAAATACGATAAATTCATCACGAAAGTTGGGAAGGAAACTATGAAAAATCAACGCATACAATGCAACAGAAATAGTTATCCAACAACACTACGAACACAACCCAAAGGCGAACCGCTCACATGTGGCTCCTGCCAAAAAACTGCGTTTATTTTAAACATGAAATGTTTGAATTTATTAAAACAACGAATGTTCTTTAAAACTGATTCAACCATGTATAATAAAAACATTTCCCAATCATTAGATACATTACGTTGATTAAAATAATTATTTTGCAAAACAAATTTGATATTCTGAATAAGACAAACCGACCCAGGTTGATCAGTGTTTGAATGATATTATTTACTTTATTTTATTTTTTTAAATCAAAGGTAAAAAAAAAATGTGTGGTGATTAGTGACCGTTAGTCGATGATTATTCAGAAATCGTGAGATGTGGTCTGGTGTGATGTAGGTTTCAGAAAAACATAAAAAAAAAATTCATTGATACATTCAATGACAGCTCATTGGAGAACAAAATTTTTGTATTCTTTTCACCGACAAAATTTATGAAAATATTACAAAATTTGAACTATCAAATTTTATTTATGTTATAAAACATTACATTTAAGACTTATGCGTATATACACTTTATTTACAAATCTACACAAAAAAAAAAAAAAACATTAGAAGCTAGGAATGTGGTGTTGTATAGACTGTACATGCATCCACACATGCATGTGGGATATATGCATGCTTGTTTTGAAAACAAAATATATCTATAAATATTCCTCTTGCTTTTTCATATTTCAATTAAATATTTTTTTAAAGAAGCAAAATTCATATAATCTAAAACAGGAAAAATAATAATTTCTTAACATAACCTTTTATATATTAATTAAATGTTGCCTGCAAGTTGCCAAACCTTTATCAACAGTTTTTATCATCCCTGATTATTATAATAAATATGAATTTTTATCAGATGCATTTCTACCATTTTGTTCAGTCTGTAAATTAACTTTTCATGCGGAAATGAAGTTTTCTTCATTTCTATTTAATCATTATTATAGTAATCAATACTTTTATATTGTAATTATTGTTTATGTGGCACACTAAATCCAAAGGTATTTGGTGATGCCTTTAAAGTGATTCCACCAACGATAACTAAAAGTTCATCACAATTATTTGTCTAACAATGAAAATAAGTAGTAGAGAATGACCAGGGATGATAAAGTGAAGGCAATAAATTAAAAACATATTCAGACAAGTTGTTTTTTTACTGATAATACATATTCCAATTAAAATAAATTAGTTGCCATTATGTGATAAAACCATCCAAGAAATAACAAAGTAAAAGAGAAAAATAGGATATACGGCAAGGGCTTTCCTTCTAGGCGGTTGGCTATCTCCAAGGAAAACCACAGCAGCTGAAAAAAGAATTATTGAAATTTGTTTTAACAATAGGATAAATACAAAAAATATGTACCTAAAGTGGCCCACAAGAATCCGCAGGTTGTGACAACGAGCCTCAGGAAAAACAGAAGATTTGATTGAGTAAAGAACAAAATGAGCCTGCATACAATTAATGCCAAAGAAGTGGGCAAAAGACAATATCCGAGAACACACACACTCTGGAAAAACGATCTAAAAGCAAAACACTGCTGGACAAAGTTTATTATCTAGGGAAGTATATTTAGCTTTACATGCGTCCACCCAACAGCTTCGAGTTAAGTGTCACAGCTACACTCCCGATCCACACTATCACAAAGACCTCAGCAAATTCTGGCCCACCGTCATGTGAATCTATGCTTTCTGACCCCTGTAGAAACCTAAGCAACAAATAGTAAGCATGCTTAAAAATATATATAAAATTCAGTACTACACATTTATCAAATTTTTTTATTATCCTTAACAATTTCTTAATAGTCATACAACATAATTTAATATTATATTATTCATTTATTTATGTTGTCCAAAAAATTAATTAAGTGTTAAATTCATAATGAATTTTATAGCACACTAATCAAAATGTCTTATACCATTTTATTCACATTATGTTTACTAAATTATTGCAGTGGAAGTGGTTATTTTTCTGTTGATATTTATCCAAGCCACATTAACTGTTTTTCTTACATAATTTTTGGAAAAAAATTTAGTTTATAATATAAAAGAGCATGAAGCTAATCATGAATGTACAGAAACAAATAGTATATTATTTGAAATAATTAATTGACAAAAGAAAAAAGTAAGAAAAAAATTTCTTTCTACATATATATGACACTGTGATATTGGGTTGGGTGTGTGCTGGAGGCTTGTCTGTCGGGCGCAGTGCCTTAGTTCTCTAAGCAAACTAAGCAGTTTGATCTCAGGGGGCAGGGAGATATGGACTTTTCCATGTTTGTTTTAAGCATTGTTGATGGTTTTTATCTACAACGTTCTGATACACTTTATAAAAAGGAAGAAAATCTCAGTTGAGACATGCCAGGGGGGGATGAGGTGGGCGAGTCTTCTGCGACCCATCAGCTTGGCTACAGTCTCATATCCACATATATTCATTTAGCAATATTTGTTATGTGTTTCACATAGCATTTTATATTTGTTATCTTTGTTGGTCTACTTTTTTTTTTTAATTTGGGCATGTGGGTATTTATAGTAGTTAATAGTATTTTTATCTATGCTTGGGGTGTTTGTAGTAGTTTAGAGTATTTGTATAACTCTGTAAATGTATATATATGTAAAAATGAGTAAAAACATATAGATTTCTTAAATTATTTACTGCCAAAATTGACAAATTCTGGCATAAAAAAGTGCAGTTTGGAGAGATTTAATGAGAAAACTAACAAAATCAGATTATGCTAGCTGGCAATTCAAAAGAATATTTTTGTTGAAAAAAAAATTAATTTGATTTATGGCAATTACTGGAGTGTGGATAATAAGTATTTATCAGACAAAAAACTTAATAAGTTAATCATTCACAAGTACTTATTTCACTTTATAACGCATTACGTTACCATTTAACCATTTAATTATGATTTATTTGTGATGACTAGCTCCAAAGAATAATGAAACTGACTCACACCACTTTACTACAGTACAATGAAAAATGGTATGAAACTATGAACCTAGTTATATAATCAAAGATAAAAAAAACAAGACATTCAAATTTTGTTGTTTACTTCAAACTATATCTATTTTTGTTATATTAATTGCAACATACTTATTTTAATGTAAACCAAATTAAATGACATCAAAAGTTTATGAATTTTAATTAAAAAATTATGATGCTTCGAAAGAAAATTTACCAAACACCGGAAAATCATTTAGCAATAGAATGAATTTAACTAAGAATTTATTACCTGGTTTTGCTAACAATAATGCATTAAGAGCAAAAATAGATTTAAAAAATTGTCAGTTAAATATTAACCTATCACTAAATGATTTTTCAGTGTTTTGGTGAATTTTCTTTCAAACCATCATAATTAAATAGGGGCATCAGTGGTCGCAATGGTTTAGGCGCTGACTCGGCACTCATCACTGTAAGGTAAAGGTCCCGAGACATACACATGAGCTTTCTTTCAAGAACACCGACACCCCGAGGGTTGATATGATCTCTGCTGTTGTGAACTCTCATTAAAAATAAACATAATTAAATATTTTTCAAAAAAACTCATGATTTTCTGATCTAGTTTAATTTGGCTTATGTTAACATAAGTATGTTTTAATTAATATACATTAAAGTGCGTATAGTTTGAAATCAACAACAAAATATGTTTGGTGTCCAGGTTTTTGTCTTTGAGTGTATAATTAAATTAATAGGTTTTTCTTTTATGAATTGGCGGGATGGCAAAGGATGCTGAATCGTTGCAATGAAATTAAGTTAATTATGTTACCCACCTTCAAAAATGGTCTAAAAATAATGAAGAAATACATCATTCTTTTAATGGATGTAAGTTTTTCTTAAATGTGTAGTAATGTTTATTAAGTGCTGCCTGGTACAGTAAAACCCAACCCTTTGTAACAACTCACCTGAACTTATATTATAAATAATGATAATATATAAAGAATAATGTATAAATAATGTATAAACTTACATTGCCATAAAAGTACATAGGATAAGTGGACCCCATAAGTCCCCTAAAAATGAAACAAAAATTTTCCAATTAAAATTAGCATATGGATAGCAAAAATAAAAAAATTCCTTTTAATTTATAACAATACTATTGTTATTCCACTATCTTTTAATTATATTAAACATATTTTCATCCATAAAAAAATTAGATTTACACTTGTAGTTTGGTCACTTCCCTATTATCTTATCTGAATTGATTCGCTTCATCATTTTGTAATTTTCGTTAATGGGTTCATGTATAACCCATCTAGGCAGCTAAGGTATTTATAAAAATAATCTCACAAAATTTAGAATTGCATTTGCTACTCACTGCCATGTACTGGTGGAAATAAATAGTGCAACCCAAAATTTTCATGTAAAATTTCTTTTTAAAAAATCACATTTACACAACTTACATTCTTTTAAAAGGCTTTTCTTTTCTACTGGATATAAAACATGTTTGAATTTCGTCCCAACAGCCCTTAGATCTCGTTTCTGATTGAAACACAACAATTAGTAATTACAATAATAGAAACGACATATGAAAAATGGTCAATTTATATTTCATACTATTGTTTCGCTTATTGGTTCATCCAGTGTGTTAAAGGTGTCACTTTCTAGGTTATTCGATGGCATCGGAACCGACATGTGGCCCTCCGCTGGTGGAATATAGCCTTCATCATACATCTGTAAAATACAAAACAATTGTTGATATTATATAATGTTCTTAAAAGTCTATTATAATACAAACCAAAGATTAAACGATAGATTAAATTTATGACTTTGAAAAACAAAAGTACAATAAAGAACATGATAGACCCACTGTAAAACCAATAGCATCTACCGTATAGAAGAAAATATTCACATTACAAGATTTAATGCAACAAATCAATAATTAATTGTAAATTTACTCTAGTCAGAACGATTTAGAATAAAATTAAATTGTTAAATTTTTCATTGCAAGCTGTGACCTATAGTTTGAACTTTTCAGATCTCCTTTTTCTCTAATTCTGACACAAAGCTAGCAAGTAGACTCGATTGCTCATTTGTACATTTGTACACCTTGGTGAGATTCTCAGAGGGGAGTATGTCCCTTGGAGGGCAAGGGCAGCGCTATGGCCCTTATCCCTTGAATCTTATGTAAAAAAACAAGGGAAAGATTCTGCAAAAACAGGAGTTTTGGAATATATATCACTATTATAATGTGGACTAGGGCTAGGAAAATTTGTTCCCATTTTCATACGTCATCCTCAAAAAGTCAAAATCACACTTCTTTTATTGCAACAATAGTTCTTCTTTTCATTGCTCAATCATGTCAACACCGCCATCTTTTATTATTGACTTTTTTTATTTATTTACTTTTTTATTTTTTTATTTATTTATTTATTTATTTTTTTGTAAGGTTACCACATTATTATTACAAAGGTGACATTAGAATTAATGAACATTTAATTTTAATAAATTAACATTTTTTAGTTATACCATGAAGAATGTATCATCTACTTTTACTTTTATAATACTAATAAATCTATATTCTGAGAACAGCAGTACAAAATATTAATCAACAGAGACATGTATATTCAAAAATTAATGTCTATTCAACAGGTCAATTTAAAAGTTTTGTTGCTTAAATATAAATTTACAAATCAAAACGTTTAAATAAATAATTTAACAGCTAAACACTACTAAAATTTTAGTTATAAATAAAACACTAATATAAATATCAATTAAATCATACTATGCAATCAATAATAAAAATACACATAAAAATTTAAATTAAAAAGTCAATATTATAAAAATATGCATTAATTAGTAAGTTCTTTAAAGAGTTTTTAAGTGGTTTTATTGCTAATTATTATTTTATATAAACTCAAATCAGTGCATGCTTGTAAATACATATACGCATTTACAGAGTTGAGCTGATCACTTCTCGCAGTCTACTGGCAGTTCCAGATTTTGTAATTTACAGTAAATTACCAACAGGTCTCGAGAATCACTTACCCCGAGTGTTGGTAGTCCGAGGTCGGACTTTAGTCTTGTCCGTCCAGCCACCAAGTCTGTGTTCCGGAGACTATCAACATCTAGGTCATTTCAGCCCTCAACACAATCAGTTCCTAAATTCATTCACACTCTCACTCACTCTTAAATACATTCTTTATTATTTACATTCCAATCTGTTAGGGTGGTGGAGTACTCGACATTCATCACTCTTTACGCCTGTTACTAACCTAATTGAGGATTGATGGGCTGCTCAATATTCCGCCAACAACCCTTTCACACAACATATTAATGCTAATAAATACCTTCACTCTCAACACATTCTAGGGACACAAATCTTGATATTATATTTAACTTATGATTTTTCCTTCTCGAAGGTGGGATAATAGGGTCATCTAAAAAAAAAAAAAAAACAGTTTTTCTTTCAATCCACTATGTTTCGGATTTATTTTAATCCTTCCTCAGTTGAATTGACGCAGTGGTTAAAACAGTGGTCGTCAGTCATTAATATTTTGTAACAGTTTATTTTAAAAAAGAGAGCCAGTGTGGTACATATTTAAGTCTTTCAGACTCCAAACAAACAATTTAATATTTTGCATTAATTAAGAATTAAAATATATCCGAAACATTGTGGACTGAAAGATTTTTTTTTTTTTTTTGAGAGAGAGAGAGAGAGAGAGAGAGAGTGAGAGAGAGAGAGAGAGATGACCTATTATCCCACCTTTGAGAAGGAAAAATCATAAGTTAAACTGTTGAGGATGAAATATAAAAAAACATCTATATTATATTTATTACAATGAAAATAACCCTGATTCATCCAAGAATAGGAACAGAAATCGAGGCTCTTGCAGCCGTGCTCAATTTTCATAACGGGTGGCATTTCTACACGCTCTCTACATCAGGTCAAGGAATTAGAGTCTTAAATTATGTAGGGCACATCAAGCAACCTTTCTCTAAGTCTTGTCTACGGACAAATCTACACTTTGGCCCAAAAGTCAGTGTGTCAACATGCATGGTCTATCCTTAATCGGGCGAGGATGACCCTTCTTCTTAGACTCAGATCCTCTGAGGGCCACCTATTAACAGTGTTCTTGATACATGAGACCTTCTTTGTACCAGCCTACTGACCCTGCCACTTTCTTTTAATCATGTTTTTTTATTGCAGCTTTAGTATCAGGGTATTAGTACATGGCGGTTAAGTCCTGAGGTTGGGACACCTTCACATTACCCTCTGCCCTACTATGCCCACCCAGTAAACAACCACCATTTTGACGAGACGCTCCAGCTCGTATTATCTCTTCAACAAGAGCACAATTAGAGGGTTTGGCCAACAGCCTGTTATGAAAACAATATCCACGCTGAAGTCGGGGCTGACTAGGTAAGCAGGGCCACCATCGTCTCAAATCACCTGAAGCGCTTGCCAAACCACATACAATATCACCATATAAACGCTACAGTGCAGTGGTAGAAGACTTTTTAAAGCATAAACATTTTAATTTAATAGCTTAATTAATAGGGTCATATAGAAGAAATTTTAGAAATAATGTAAAAAGTCCTATGAGGCCAATGTTCCTCTCGCGATCAGTGATTCAAGCACAAATACAAGAAAACTCGTGAATAACTAAATGCCAAAAGTCAACATGAAACTTACATCAAGCTTTGCGACATTATAGCTGTTTTCCATGCCGCCTACTCTTTTCTGCCTGCAATCACTTCTTTTCTATTCAAAAACTTTTTTTGGCCACTGTAAACTGTTAAAAACTGTGAAAAGAAAGAAATTCCGGTTGCGTCGTGTCATTAACAATGAATTGTGGCATTTGACATAACCATTAACTAACGATAGCGTCAGTTTTGTAACCAGTCAGATAAAAATTAGCCTTCCTCTTCCACGAATGGATACTAGATTTAATTTTACATTTATACAAATATTCCAGCCATTTATATTAAATTAACCTTCTAATTAATAATTAAACTTAAAAATGTATTTCTTACTACTATAAAATAATGTACATAAGCGTATAAATTCGTCGAATCAAGGGGTTTAGCTTAGCACTGCGCCCTTCAAGTGCTGTTTTAACTTTTAAAATTCCTTACTTTGATATTGATTAGTACACTAATTAATCCTGTCTTATCAATCAATTTTATTACTTATCCCATTCAAAGAATTGCGTTTATTTTATTGTTAATCTTTAAAAAATTCTTTCAGTGAAGGAATACAACTCAGCAGTCTGCAACTAGCTACATATGCCAGAGCTGCTTCATTTCAGACTACATTCTGTTCATGATTTTTTCAGATATTCAATGAAAGACGAAATTCTATGTTTCTCCTTATTTATTCTTACGACTGAAATAATAAAATCCAAACAACGATAATTAATATCAGACCCTGGTTTTAAAAAATAGGGACTTACTACATGATCCCGGAAACACTCTTTACAACATCCTATAACAAATCCTATATTTCTACAGACCAAAAAGGAGAAGAAGAATTCAAAGGAAATCTGATGAAATGGTATACAGATGGCTCGGAAACAAATCAGGGATCAGGCTTTGTTGTACAAACTCAAAATATGACCAATCGTACTCATTAGGAAGTAAAGTTCAGTCTTTCAAGCTGAAATGCATCCCATCAATGCTTATTTAACATTGAAATCTTAAAAGAGGTTATATTGACAAAAATCCTCATAAGATAACCAAACATCTATTAAAAGCACTAGCGTGTCAAAAAAATCACATCAGAATTAAAGAATCCATCCAAAATCTGAGGAAAAACAACCTTATATCTAGGGTACTAGAACAGAAATGAATGTAGGGCAGCAAAAAGGTAGAGGCACTGGTCAGAGGGGGATTTGGATTAGGAAACTATAAGCCCTGAATCTATTCTTGGGTTGACAAAAACAAACAGAATCCTCCAAGAAGAGTACCAAATAAGATAAAAGGAGAAGTGGATAAATTCTAGAGGTGATACTCAGTAAGCTTATGTTAAAACAACCCTCGCCAAGACTGTCAAGCACTGCTACAGTTAGAAAGGGCTAAACTTAGAGGAGTGGTAGGACTATTTACTAGTCACTGGCATCTGAGAAAACACCTACACAATATATTCAATGATGATCCCATTTGTAGATTATGCAATGAGGAAGAAACAGGCACCTATAAATGTGAAGCAGCCACTCAATATAGACATAATCTGGGGTACAACGAAACCCAGAGAAAGGAAATGTAGCGACCTAGTATTCCTTAAGGGGATAGAGTTGATTCATTGATTATACTTAACTAGGAATTAGGAAAGTACAATAAACCAGGCTGCAGAGCTTGAAGAACAAAAAATCCTGACTTCCTAGTATCCACATTCGTCATCACTTGCACTCAAGAGAGTAACAAAAATCTCAACCTAACCTAACTACTAGTTTTACATGTCTGAGGGGTACTCTATATTCTGCCAATAAACACTTATGCAAATAAATACATTTTTATGAAAGACTTTCGAAACATATGCTGAATTAAAACTTGGAGAGGTAAGAAGTTGATAATACACCAGTATCTCACTTGCCTATCACTACACATCCTTTATACTTGTTGATCTAACTAAATTGACATATTTTGCCAAAGGCGTCCATTCACACTTACCCCTGTGTGCAAATACATTCATGCCTAGAAAAAAACCTGGGTGAGGGGTTTTAAACAACCATGTGTTTACGATTATGAATAGCATTCAAGTTCATCTTTATCACTGTTGTGCTTTAATACTTGCAGTATATTACTAGGCAGGCCAAACAAAATACGGTACTGTGTTAGTTGTTCACACTATTCTAAAACTGTTGACTGTCCCCACTTTGCTGCACAGAGATGAAATGAAACCTCCTGGGTCTCCTTGTAAAGATATTCCCATGTCAGGCAAGTGTGACCTATCCTAAATTGGGTATGTTCTTATGGGATCGAAGGGCTCACTGATTTTAGCATTCCAACCAGGGAACTTACTAATCATTCCAGCTTCAATTTTCATTTTAATGAGGGTAATTTAATACGAGGTTGTATGCCAATGGTTTTGAAAAAAATCCCATTTGTATGTCGGGTTTGAAAGCAGAGCCGCTGGACCTTTACCATTCAGTGATGAGCACCGTGTCAGCACTTAACCCGTTGTGGCCACCGACGCCCCTCGGCCTCAATCTTTTCAATGCACTGTTACATCTGCTGGACTGCCAAGGTTGATATCCTATTTCCTTCCACATTAACATACTACACAAATTTAATTATTTACCTCAAAAAGTACTTATTTATTTGTTTTTAATTTATCATTGCTAAATATTTTTCTTTTTAACTGAAATTGTATCTTGCTGTAAATAATTCTATCTATAATCAGTGGCTTAATTTTGTACTTACAATATTTCTGCTGGGCAAGTTATGTTGGTTGGTTCTTGACCTAAACATTTACCATAAGGAATATTCGGGGAAAGAATGTCAGTAAAATTATTTACAATATTTTTGAACTGCAAAATTGCAAGCAAAAAAATGCTGTAAAATACATTAATAAAAAAAACGAAAATACATAGAAATTAATCGGATCAATTTATTTAAAAGAAAGTTTACATTTGACAGAACGACAAGTTAATGAAAACTAATTATGACAAATTGATGAAAAAAGTGTTGACAAGTTTTAAACATATATGAAAGACAAATAAAAAGTGGAATTAAAATAAGTTTTGTTTAAAAATAAAAATGTTTACTGCTCAAAAGCATCAAAGTTAATATTGAATTAATTGTTTCATAAAAACTAAATATCCCTTTCTAAAAATAAATTGTAAAAGTTTTGAATTTATTTAAAAAACACAAGATAAACATTAACTATTTGAAAATGTCTTTTATTTTTTGAGATAAAAGAAAAATGATTAAGTTTCAACAAAAATAAATTTATTTTGAAACATGCAAACCCCTCCCCCCACAAATTAAAAGTACATATTTCCCTTTAGCCCCATTGAAAAATAAAACAAAATTTACTCCCCCCCTTTAAAAAAAAACCCTCCCTGAATTCGGCAACGTCATCACTACTCATACGTGTAAAACATAATTTTGAAAATCCCTAGAAAAAATGTAGTTTATAACGTTGCCATAATTTTGCACAGATTAGCTACTTTAATTTATGACAATTAAGTCATAAGTTAAATAAATAAAAATTTGTACAAGATGCATTTGACTTTAAATTTTAAACTTACACCGAAAATGTTGCATCTCTTGGCAACTTATTTAATTTTTTTTTTGTTTTTTTAATTTTTTAAATATTTTGTTTACATCAAACCAAGAGGAGTTGCCTATCCTCTTGGGACAAAATTTGGATCTCATTTAGATGTTTTCACGGTGTAATACACCAAGATAAATAAAAAGAAAAAAAATATATGTAAAAATTAATTGTTTTCTCTCACTCCTTTCCTTTTTTTCTAATCGATTCACACTCAGATATTCATGGGTTTTTGTTTGGTTTTTTCTGCAGACTTCCATTATTTACAGTTTTAAAAAATTTAAAAAGACAAGTTTCGAAGCACCAATGGGAAAATCCAATCAAATTAATTCTCTCCCAAAATTTAGTTTACAATCGAGTTTATATTTCACTCCGGGAGATCCAAAGATGTTTGTTTAAAAGCCAGAGTGAAAGATAAAATCAGCATTAAAATTTGAAAAACTAAAACAGATCTCGCTAAATAAGCGTATCAAAAGAACAAAAAAGGTCCCATCAATGCTTGTTTGTTGTCCAAAAATTTGATATTTACACAATACAAAATTCTTCTGTTGAGGACGATGACTAATCTTGTTTGTTAAACACTATATAATATTTACACTTCGTATCAAAACTGTTTTTAACGTAAAGAGTCCTTTTTTTTTATAATCACTTCGTATTATTCCTTTTCTTCTGAATTATTTTTTGTACTTAAAAAAATAATAAATGTCCTTTGTTGTCTCTCAATTGAATATTTCTTTTTCTTCGATTTCACTGAAAAACAACTTGCTTCAACCCCCTTCCCCCCAACACTCAAAAAAATTTACTATTTACATAATGAGTTCCAACACACGTCATTTTTCACTTGTTGGCATTGTTGGTCTCTTCTATACCATCTTCGAGTTTGGCAACGTAAAGCGAAGGATCAATAACCTGAAGAGAAAAAACAAATAAAACATTAACAGTAAGTTAACAAAATAAAAATATGGGTACTCCAACTGTACTAATTGTTATGTTAAGAAGTTTTGTGACCATATTCAGAATTAATAGCATACTCGATATCAACATCTGGGGGTACACAACTGGTACACCAGTGTACATTTTTTAGGGGTAGGCTTTAGTTTACTTATGTGTTAGCCACTTATAAGGATCAAAACAGGGATTAAAGTAGGATAACAGGTAATTCTATCAAAGTAACTTTAAACATACAAATAATCTAGCAACTCTGTTTTTTCTTTTTCTTTAAGCATTAAAAAAAAAGAAGAAAAAATCAAATGATTTTATCGACACACTAGAAATAACAAAACTTATTTGAAAATCCTCGAAAGTGCATTAGCTTATAATTGTACTATCTTAACAACTCAATAAATGATACATTTAACACAATACGACAGTTTGGTGAATACCCAAATGTTAAACTTAAATTTAGAATTTTTTTTTTTACCTTAGGAATTGGTTTGATTTCAGTGCCAAGTTCTTGTTCAATGCGATGGAGAGATAAGCGATCCTCAAAAGTAATTAAATTAATTGCAATTCCAAGATGACCGAAACGACCAGACCTTCCTATCCGATGAAGGTAGGTTTCTGCCATCCTTGGAAAATCAAAATTGATAACCACATTGACAGCCTGAACGTCAATACCTCTTGTAAAAAGATCTAAAACAGAGAGAGGAACATTCAATAATAATGCCATTTATTAATAGGACAAGACCGACTTACCAGAACAGACTAGATTTCTGCACAGGCCGGAACGAAAATCGTGGAAGACCCTGTTACGATGGGCCTGGGCCATTTTGGCGTGAATGTAATAACAACAATAACCCAACTCTGTTATTTTCTTTGCAAGTAGCTCCACTCTTTGTGTGGAATTACAGAAAATTATACTTTGAGTAATTTGCAGCTAAAACATAAAATAAGAAATATACTTTCACAGTTTTTATTTTTATAATTTTATAATTTACCTTAGAAAATAGAGTATTCAAACAGTGCACTTTTTGTCTTTCTTGCACAAATGCGTAATACTGAGTGACACCTTTAAGTGTCAGTTCCTCCATGAGATTAATCTCATATGGATGTTCCAAATGTTTATCCTAAAAATGAACAACAAAATCAATCATTATCGATAAACACTCGCTTGAAATTAAAATAACGTACCATGAACTGTTTAACAGTAAGGGGAAAAGTTGCGGAATACAATAGGATCTGTCGGTCCTTGGGGAGTCGGCAAATGACGAGGTCCAACATCCCTTTAAAATCTTGAGAAAGAAGTTTGTCAGCTTCATCTAGAACCAGCATCCTGCAGTTATCCATGTTTGCCACATTCTTGTCCATCAAATCGAGTATCCTTCCGGGTGTGGCAATCACAACATGAACTAAAATTATTTAATAAATTTTTATTTATTTAGTTTATTTTACCCTCCCTTGTGAGTCATACCTTTTTGGTAAAGCCTCATTATATCATCTCTCAGATTTGTTCCTCCAGTAGTGACCATAACCTTGACATCCATGTGCTTGGCAAGCTCGATACAAATCTGTGATGTCTGCAAAGCCAATTCTCTTGTTGGAACTATCACAAGTGCTGTTCAAAAATCAAAACATACATTGTTACACAAGAATAACAATTTTACTCTATCCCAACAAATTAAAAAAAAATTATGTTTACAAGCACAATATTGGACCACATATCAATTGTAAATACCTTGAATTTTTTCAACTGTAGGATCAACTTGTTCAAGGACAGGTATCGAGTAAGCACCAGTCTTTCCTGTTCCATTCTTTGCCCTAGCTAAAATGTTTCGTCCAGACAAAGCGATTGGAATGCTTGCCTCTTGTATCGGGCTTGGCTTTTCCCATCCCTTTTCAAAAATGCCCATGAGTAGCTCCCTCTTGAGGCAGAACTCCTCAAATTCGTTTCCTTTGGTGTCAGTGACATCCTAAAATTTGACAAATTTTAGTTAATAACAAGTATAATCAAAACGCTAATATCCAAAAGGGTCTTTACATACACTAGTCTTTTTTCTTCGGTCAGGAGGGGGTAGTTTTAATTTTGCCTTCCATCCATCCTCCATGTCACCTCTAAAACAATATAAAACAAATTCAGTTAGGAAATGTTAACCACATTACAATTATCAATTTTAGTTTGTTTGATTAGACAATCTGTAATTGGAGTTACCAACTTCAAAATAATTGAAATTGGCAGTTAAATTTACCAAGTTACGCATAATATTTTCACATAAAATGGCCAAGTTTCAGGTTAAATAGGCTGACGGAATTTAAGAGAAAAAAACCTATTAAGTTTTTTATGGTCCTATTGCTCAACCTGAGTGATTATTCAGTGATTTGTATTTTTTTAACGTAAAGTGTGATTCAAGATGAAAAGATTAGTGTCATGAGTGGGACTTTACATAAAAAATTTTTTCAAAAAACCTATTTTATAAAAACATAATTAGCAAACAATTTGTAAATCTGAGACAATTGAACATTTATTTATCTCTTCAGTATTCATGAAATTAAACTAGGTCTAAAATAATATGCCTAATGAGGCTGACCTTCAGAGAAGTCAAAATATTCCAAACCATGAGACACGATTACGTACATTAATATGTGTAAGAAAATTTATGTTTTAATATAAATTTCTTTTAAAGTGAAACTTTCTTATGCTTGGTAGAGTAAAATCATTCGGTGAGATGAAAAAGGAAACGCTACTCTACGCAGGTGCCAACAACTGTTTCTCTGACTCCGACTAAATGGAGTACACCATGGAGTAGTACTAAACTGTTGACACACATCGATGTAATTTGTGCATTATATGTGTCAGGAACTCAAGTAATATAAATGAAAAATAGTAATGTTACATTTGCCATTACATAATGAATTCATTGAAATTTATGAGAATTAAGAATTAATTGCACAAAGCCGCAGAGTTCGAATCTGATTTGGATATCCTCAAAACCATTGAAATTTGTAAGGTATTATGGTCAAGATAAATGCGGACGATGCGGTATGTATTTTAGCAGGAAGAGATCCAGAAGCTGGTCTATTTTTCAAATTTTCTTTACTGAACTGGCTGGTTTTGACAAGACATTCGTGATTCATCTTGTCATGGAAATTTACAATTGATTCACAAATAGAGATTATTTCTTTCGCTTTTAGAGCTAGCCTAACAATATCAAACACTTTAAATATGTTCAAGTTATCCTTACTGATGAAATCAGTATGGTAGGAGCAGAACCACTGGCTCAAATACTAGACTAACGCAAATTATGGATAATTATGATACAAATATTGCTGGTATGCGATTTACGACAATTACCGCCTGTCTGAGCCACACCGATTTACAAACAATTGAAAAAAATAGCAGTGTCTACCATCTACGAATTAAATCGAATCATGCACCAAAACAGATGTTATATTTTCTCCATTGTTGAAGAAAATTGGCAATGGTGAAGAATTGGAAGAAAATTAATTACTCTTAATTGAATGTCGGTTTATATCTAAAGATGAAATTATTTATGAATATGAACGGACTCACTCACAACTAATTTTATACGTTGATTTATTACTTGTCAAAAGCATAAATGACTTACGTAGTTACAATGAATGACACAAAAAATTCTACCATGATACCTATTCTACCGTGGTCACAGAAAAGCACAATCGATGGTTAATTTACAAGAGGAATAAGGTAGGCTTGCTCTCTCTCAATCAACTATCAAACATTGAGTCATCATTTAAAATTTCCATCAATAACAAAAGTTGTTGTTTTTTTTTCCAGTTAATTGTCAAAGTCTACACACAGGATATATCAGATGGAGTTAATAATAAATTATAATAAAATAATTTCATGACAATTATGGAAACATGACTGGATGATCTATAATTTTGACTGCATTGTTCAATTCTAACGTACTTTGGTGGTAACTGGAGGAGTATTTACAAAAATTCCAACAAGAGCTTCTTTTGCACATCAAACAGAAATTAAGTCACGCTAAGTTAATATAGTACCTGTAAATGGCGCATGGTCAGTCAAAGAGATTTTTGCTGCTCATTGCAATTTGGATGATGACAGAACTATTTTAATAGTTGTCATATATATCTTCTAATCATATTATCTCCAATATAATTAATTTTATATATCACACATTATTATTCTACTCCAATGATGCGCTTATTAATGAACGTATTGATAAAGAGTTATCTCAACTGCCAATTATTTTCAATGGGACTTTCTACATTAATTTTGCTTCTGAGGAAGAACACTATTTAATTGCTTTTTTAGATCTTAAATTCAATTAAAAAATAAACATTGTTACCAATGTCTAAACTACTAAATCAGGAAGCACTGTTGATACCAAATTTAGTAGATGATACCTTGAGAAATTAGAATCAAAAACATTCATATCATATTTCAGTTACCACAAACCAATCTCCAATCTTTTCTAAAATATGAGGAATTATTAATGATTATAAATTAAAATTTGAATATTGATTCCAAAGCAAGTATGTCCTTAAATTTTTAACTTAAACTTTTCACTAGGAAGTTTCTCTTCTGTAGTGTGTAGTGCGAGGTACACTGTGTTTTTTATATTTCTCACTGACAATTAAAATTACGGCCCACATTGAACTACTGCAAATTGAACCCAGCATATCCACCATAGTATATCACTGCCTATGGTTGTTAATAGCACTAATACTCCCAATTCAGCCATAGGCACTACTTGAATTAATGTGTGTGGTATTTAGTTGTTAGTTTAGCCATTAGCCAAGGATTATTTGGAGATAGTGAGGTGCGGTCTGGTGACTTGAATTAACTATGAACAACCCATTTTTCTACTGCATTGTTCATTCATCCTCTACATAAGGTTGTGCTTTAGAGGGCAGGGTAAACAATAATAACTGTAAAAATTCATATTGCTAACTAGTCAAAATTACAAACTATTGTTTGACAAAATATATAAAATAAATAAATATTCAATGAATAAAGGTAAACAAAGTTTGTGCATGAAAGTTTAGATTGTCAGGAGATTATTGGAAATGTGACTAACAACTCTTAATATCAAATATCAGAATGTAATAAATGCTAACATCCACCGTTAGACGATTATTTAAAAATTAATAATTATTTCGACATCGTGAGATGTGGGTTTAGAAAAACAATGAGAGCGCATCTCATGATCTCTCAATTATCATTAGGTAATGGCCACTAAACACCACACATTTAAAAATTAAGTTCACAGTATTATTTTTTTTTACAGCAGAACCTTGGTCAGCAATAAGTAAGCAGGCCTTTGAATAGATCACACAGCATAGAAAACTGTACTACATCATCCCCACAAAATGGTCGAACCTTTTTGTATAAAATCAAAGCACAAAGTCAGGATGAATTTTATTTTATTTTTATAAGATAAGACCATAACTAAAGCCCACTGTAATTACATATTTTGTGAGATTCCTCTATGAGTTCTGTAATGATCAACTGCATGGCAAATTGAAAATTTAATAAATAAATAAATAATTACACCAGTAAATTGGAGTAACAGAAATTTCGCATCCCCAATGGTCTTTTCCGTCAAGTGGTTTTATAATACATATAAATTAAACCAAAACGTTTATAAATTTAAATATTTTTACTATTCCCTTGAAATATGATTTAATGATGATAACTGCTATCCACCAAAAGTGTTTTTTTTTAACCAATTCTGACTTTATAAACTGCTTTTATTGACCAAATGAGTTAATCACTCAAAAAGAAAGATGCGTTATAGTTAAATTAGGACCTATTATGCTTTAAAATCATAGACATCAAGTTATTGGTATTAAATTTAATTATTTTAATTATTAATGTGATGTGAACAAAACGGCTTGTGTTCCATAAATAATTTATTTTATTTTTGGGTAGGCCTTTCGACTCGAAAGGAGTCCTTTGAGGGGGGACTTGAGTATCACGGCTCCAACAATAAATAATTAACTTTACTTTCTTATTGCGATGTTTTGGCCTGTCTTCAAATCAGTTTTCTTCATTTATGTAAACTTTAATGGACTAAAATTACAGCACTAAAATTCAATGTTGGATGACACTTTAATACATACATTAAAATGCATATGGTTATTCCTAAAAAGTAGTGAGAGTGTACATATATAGTTACTTTGGTGCATACTTACAATTTTTTTGACGGCATTCGATTAGCGCCGATGTGGTTTGTGCTCAATTCGGTCATCATCGTTCCTTTGTCGGATTAGCAGACGGAGAAATCCCTCGACCTTATAAAAGCAAAGAGGGTTGGAATAGAACGTCTCTCAATCTATCCTCGCACGTCCCCCTCGCTCGAAAAATCCAATTTTAAATATCGCTGACTCTCCGAGTGCATTCAAATCGCATAATTTATTCCACAGACTCCTGCCTCTCGTGAAAATAAAATAAAAACACGCTGGAACAATCGGTATCCTGGGGGCAAAGAAGATGGAAACTGTTAGGGGCATATGACATGACATGCTGGTGCAAGTCAGGAACAGGAAAAATCATGCAGGGCAGTCACGGGTGCAGGATTTCTCGACTCGTGGCTTTCACGGGGAAAACTGAGTCGATATTTTACATTTAAAATTACGCCCTCACCTCAAATATACTCGTAATTAACATTCATACAAAATCAGAAGGGAAAAATTGCATTTCAAGTTTTTTTTTAAAGTAATATCTGAAAAGATGAAAAACAATACTTTAATTATTATAAAAAGGGGGTTTTGTTTTGTAACTTTTTTATAATGGGAAACGTACAAAACGGAACTATGTACAAAGCTGGTTTTTGTGGCACATATTAGGGTCCTAGTTGGAAAAGTTGCACTATCGGTACAAAACGAAACTGTACGGATTGTATCGAGACGAGAAGACAAATGAGAAAAGGGCTGTTTGTCTTTTTAAAACTAGGCTGGGATCGAATTGTAGAAAAAAAAACGCAATTCGCTTAATGGCGTCGACTATGGCAAACAAGCATTGGAAAAGCGAAGCTTTTGATAAGTGGTGGCCTCGTTTTTGAGAAAAGCTCGGAAAAGAAAACTGCGCCAGCATTTAAAAAAGCTTGCCTCCGGCTGAGTGCATACCTTGAAATCAGCACAAAACCGCAGCTCGATAGGACGTGGCAGTTAAGAAATCGCAATCTTGACTCTGGTAAGCGGCCGACTCGTTCTCTCTTTGACTTTGTAAGTGGAACCGGAACGGGGATCGTGGCCAGCGCCTGCCGATCCGCTACGGATCCGATGAGAAACTCCTACGGCCTTTTGCTTCTCCGAATGGAAAAAACCTTCGGCCGTTATGGATATTTTAGACCCGGGAGAAAATTCATTTTCTCGACAGATCGAATTGGATTCGAAGCAAATCACGGCGGTTCCGGTTTTCGGAGAAAAAAGACGAAATTTGACCGCGACCAAAATCCTGGGAAATTCAAAACCCTGCCTGGGACATCCTCCAATTTCAACCAAAAATCTCTCCATATTCATTCAATTTTATTAGTAATTTTAACGTTTATCTACGTATATTAATATTGCACAATTTTGAGGCAACCTGAAATATGAAGAGCTAGAAATATTGCAAAGGAGGTTTATTAAAAAATTGTTTAGACTTCTCAGATAGATGCCTCTAGTCTGCATATAAGTTAGGGTTTCTTTTAAAAATTATATAGTAATACATTCTGTACAAAGAGTTCAACTGAATGGCCAGTTAGGGTTTCAATTTGAGAAACTAAGTTTTTAAAAATATTTTATTTCATAAAAAAATTACTAAGTAATACGTTTCGTACACGGAGTCCTACCAACTGTGCCAGTTAGGTTTTCAATTTGAGAAACCGAGTTTTTAAAAATATTTTATTTTATGAAAAAATTATAAAATAATACATTCGGTACAAAGAGTCCCACCGACTGCACCAGATAGGTTTTCAATTTGAGAAACCGAGTTTTTAAAAATATTTTATTTCATGAAAAAATTATAAAGTAATATTGAGAAACTGACTTTTAAAAATAAAAATTTATAAACTAATACATACATTCAGTACAAAAGTTCTTTCAATGTTAATCTTTCAGAGTCCCCATTGGATCTGCTCAGAGTTTAGGTCTGCATTTATTTAGTTAACTTCTGGGATAAATATGTTCTAATATATATATTTAGAAACAAAATCAGTGTATATTCACACCTTGAAGGTACAAATTAATGCTCACTCTTATGCCAGAAAATCATTGGCTTAAAATTACTGCTATGGAAATTATAAAGAATGTATAAGGGTTTTAAAAAGCTTCCAGGGTTAATTCATGGTGATGGATAGTTTTAAATGCTTGTTTAAGTGGTCTTTGGTAATTGCTGCCTCAGCACTAAAAACTTGTATTAAAAAATTAAATTGCGGACAACGAGAAATTTGTGTTATATAAAGAGGGAAAGTTTGAGCTGAATTATTTACATGGAATCTTGTCTTAATTCACGATCAATTAAAATTATGGAGAACCAGTTTCTGAAATATAAGCCCTACAATAACACTGGAAATTCATGTCTGTTGGGGTGATCCAGTTGAAAGATGATACCGACCATTTTACCACATGCTCAAGACTTGCCGATTTAGGGAGAGTGGCTTGAGTCCAGGACAATCGATGGGAAAATCATGTTCGACTCCTGAATGATAAAAACTATGGAATCTTATTTAAGTACTAAGAAAGTAAAGTAAAAAATAAGTAAGAGGCATATAAAGTTTACTTGTGTAATATTAATTTAAAAAATTGTAGTTTTATATTAAAATTACAATTTAGATTGTAAAGTCGCTCACATTATTACTCATGTATTATAATGTAATAATCATCTGATGATTAAGCTTCAAAACTATGAAGATGTCTTTAGGACTTATACAATTCATTTTAAAAAATCTGTACATATACTTATAGCAATTATATCAATACACTTAAGTTGGGGGGGGGGCAACAGTTTAGGCGTTGACACAACGCTCATCACTGTAAGGTAAAAATCCCGGGTTCGAATCCAGCAACCCTGCATTCGAAACCGACAAACTTACAAATGGCCTTTTTTCAAAAAAACCAGCATCCCAAGAGTTGATATAGCCTATGCTGTTGCGAACTCTCATTAAAAATAAAAAATAAAAATAAATAAAACAAAAATAAGAATAATATAGTTATCTATTTTAAGCCAATCATGTCAGATGACAATAAACCTCTAGATTTTCACTGTCCGTAAAGTGAAATCCTTCTTGGATTAGATCACAAAAGTGATACTCTAAGATTTAGCTTCACATTAATTTTGTTTTTTTAATGCGTTATTCAAGATTGGTTAGTTTTGAATAGTTCATCCTGTGTAACATTACTTTTCCTAGAATGTTTTATATGGTAACTGTTCCTCCTCCATGGAGGTGTCATACATCTCTTATTTTGATTGTTAATTCATCTAAAAACTGTTTGAATTCTAAAAATATTTTCTTGCTCCAAACATGAAATGAGAATTTATCAGACGATGTATTAGTTTTGGGCTTCTACGAACTCATTCAATCTATTGCTTCATATGGATAATGCTTTACGAGCAAAACCAGGTAATAAATCGTCATTAAAGTTTTAATCTATCACTAAGTGATTTTCTTATGTTTTAGTGAAATTTATTTCAAATCATCAAAATTAATTTTTTTAAATATTTAGTTTAAGTTAAAGTATGTGTAATTATTATATTGTTAAAAACACACATATATATAGTATGATACATCAATTCAAAGCCTTGTTAGCTCTGCAACATCAGTATCATTAAAATGCATATAAAAGTTTCAAAATGTTGACTAAATGTATGTTCAACCTTTTTGAAAGTATTTGCTATTTTTATACACACATCCTATACAATAAAAATGGATTGTTTCTGTGAAATGAAAAGCTGGTAATCATATTGAATTTGACCATTAGTATTGCAGGAACTGGTGAAAGTTTGAAGTTGAACTGCATCATACTACATTTACAAAATTAAAACTGTTGAGAATAGCAGGAATTCAGTACAGGATCTGTTTCAACAGTATTCATAAAAATGACAAACAATGATGGAACTAAGCCTTGAAGCACACAGGATGTGGTTGTGCAAAAATATATCTAAATAAAGAATTCTTTTTTGTCCTTCAGTATTGTGTAAGTCAATAATAAAGATTTAATGAAGTATTAATGTTGATATTACATAACCGTTTGGCTACCACGGTCCCTGGATTAAGCTAATTTGTTGAATTAAAATTATACAAAACCATTCCAATAATTAAAAAAAAAATTATAGACAATATTAAAAAAAATATTAGAGGCATTTTGTAATATTGTGCAGAAAAAAAGTTTAACTCCAAATCGTTAGTGGAAATGTTCAGTTTACTAAAAACAATGTGATAAGGTTATCTATTATATTTCAGAAAAACAGGAAATGTTTCAAAATTGTACATTTCTTCTAACCTCATTTGAGACAATTTAGAAAATAAAAACTGTAAGATTTAATATACTTTTTATTATTATTTATTTTAAATTGGTCAATTATAGTTTTTGATGTAAAACTTCACATCAGGGGGCGCACGGCTTAAGTGTTGACACAGCACTCATCACTATAAGGTAAAGGTCCCGGGTTGGAATCCATTGGCCCTGTATTTTTTTTACAAAAAAATAAAAAATAAAAAAATAAGGACTTGATTTTAGTTTTCTTCAACATGTATTCAAATTTTTAATACTTTTTAATTTTTTTTTATATAAAATTTAAATTAATATAGATATAGACTGACCCATACAGTTTTTGTTCTCCTCCAAGTCTGCTATAAACCGCCAAAGCAGAAATGATATGAAATAGCCAAACGGAGCAGTGACTGTATTATTACAAATTTGTTTAGTTTTTATATTTAGATTATACATACAATTTTCTCCAGCATTTTACTTCCCTTTATTGAACTACTAAACTTAACAATTTTTACCCTATTTACATGGTAAATTGTAATTAATTAAAAAACTAAAATAATCATGGGCCATTATTCTTTAGCAGTAAACCCTTTAAAAGGTCCTAAAATGATAATTAAAAAAACAAAAAAAAACATTGTTTTATAAACTTCATTTAATTTGTTTATTGAACAAAAAATTAAACTTTTTTCATAAATAATTTATTATTTATAAACACTACAAAAATTTTAAGAAACAAATATTGGCGAAATGTAACAACAACAAATTGTAAAATAGGAATGTTGTTAATAAGGTGTAGCGGACATAATAGTTTAAAACAGGTGGCGTTTAAAACTTTCTTTATATCAAAATTGTTGTGGATTCCCCATTGACCTGGTCAAATGTCAACTTTTCAAATAGAGTTTTAAGTTTTCAGCAAGAGACGGAATTGGGTAAAAATGTGAATCTTTGGTGCTTAATAGTTCTCACTTTAGCGAGACATTTACAATAATTTAAAAAATAATCTATAATTAACAATCATAATTATCACAAGTCCTTAAACAAAAAGATATTTGTTATACCCATGTCAGTAGTATATTGCATTTCTTTGGAGGAACATGAATTAACAGAATGAAAAAAAAAATAAATAAAAAATAAATACAACACTCTCCTGTCGAGGCCTTAAATTTTGATATAAATTATCTTAAGGACGGTTAAACACAAAGGGCAAAAAATTTAACCAATACGATTGTAATAAGTTATCCACATAATTCATAATTTTTGTGTTGTTTTTGTTTCTGCTGATCCAGGGGGGAATGGAACGTAACTAATCTTCCTTTTTAGCCTCTATACTCTTTTGTTGTGAATCTTTGTTCTCACTGTCTTTCTGATTTTCCATTTCACCAGAAAACCCAAACTCATTAATTCTTGTTAAGTCTGTCTTGTAAATCCAACGTTGATAAAGAAAGATAAAAAACACTATATCTGTAAAAAAAAATGCAAATAATTTAATAACCCTTACGATTATATCACTTTTAAATATTAACTTACCATCTCTAAAGCATCCTAGCCTATACATTGTTGGCATTTTGATAACAAAAGCAAATATATCGTCTATAAATGTGTTCAGGCACTTGTAAGACATCATACGCCAGGGGAGGTGGGCAACTGATTTTAATTTATAGTTAATAAACAACTGTGGGGTCATCATGATGAAACCTGAAATAAGATTGCAAGTTAGTACATCTTTGGACTGACATCCTGGTGAAACTCACTTACCAAATGTCAAAAGAAAGCCATAAATCATGTTTAGCATCCATGAGTACCACCCTTTGTGGTGCTGGTAAATAAGGGAGTAAATTGCATAAAGCGCGAGGAGAGGGAACAGAACCCAGGAGAGGTACTTGAAAGCAAGCTGATCATACTGCTTGGTACTTGACTCAACATAGGAACCCTTGTCAGTGAATACTGGTTTTGGAAAAAAATTTAAAATCCTCTGCTCCCAGTCCAGTTTTATGTCAACAACCTGAAAAATACCAGTAGAATTATATTAAAAATTTAGATGAGGAAGACTCCCCACTGAAGAAGAATGAAGATTTGTTGATAAAAAAAATTGTTATGGTGAAGCGAGTATATCAATTCAATAGATTTGAAAGAAAATTCCAGGAGTAATGGGTCTATGAGACATTCACGCAAACCACTCAGCTACTGCGGTCCATTATTAATAAAGTTGGGAACTTTATGTTTTCCCCAAACTTCTTTTTTTTTTTTTTTTTAATTTTAAATTCTACCAACTAGTTTCATTTTTGTCTAATTTACATTAAATAATTTTTTCAATCTTTTTACAATTTAGATTTTTTATATTTGCATAAAATTTGTGATAAAAATGTATACAGTTATGAACGTATGGAAAAGAAAAAACATACACATAAAGAACCTTTACACTTTTTAGTAATTTACATAAACCTGCAATTTGCACTAATTAATGATTAAAATAATGAAATAGAAAAGGAAGAAAAATCCGCAGTTAATAAGGAGCAAGAAATAATCTGGATGAGTGGAAAAATTCAACTTAATATTGCGTCCACAATGGTCATCGTTCTACTATGTAGTAATTTATACACTACTCTCCAAGAGAAATGTTAATTAATGTCTAAATTAATTTTTCTTACCTTATTTATCTTCCAAACATCAATGCACAACCCTACAAAACACGAGACCTTGATAAGCGTGTTTGTGTCGTTGTCTAAAACGTAGAGCAGCACAACTAGTGATTGGAAGACATTGTAGAAAACTGACCGCACAGACAAACCTTCAAATGATTTTCGGTTGTTCCAGAACTGAATATCTATAAAAAAAATTAATTTCATTTAATTAAATATAAACTTAATATAAAATTCAATTACAAAAAGTATTAACTCATAGGAATCTTATTAAAAATTTTGTAAAGTAAATTACCATTTTTGAAGGCAAGGAGTTCAAAAACACTATGTAAAATTGAGACTAGGATTGTAGCAGCAAGCAAGTATGGTGAAGTTTCCAAAAGTGCCTCTTTCAGGCTGTCTTGGTCATCGTCTTCAACTTCGTCTTGGAAAATGTTGGCGGTGAGCTTGCTTTTCATTGAATGCGCACAGTACATCTGCCATTTGAAGAGTGATAGCGGTTGGTAAGTAATTCTAAGCTCTAATGACCTAAACAAAACAATGCTTACTGATTCTGTTTAATTTCTCTCATTGTAAAAACCTTACTCTACAGTTTCATTGATGGGCTGATAGTCTCGTAACAAATTCCAGAATTCATTATAAAAAACTACAGGTTTGTAGTAATCGCCAGTTGGAGAAAATTCAATAACTGTAAAAATAAGTTTAGTTATTAAAGTCAATTTTCTTTTGTAACTAATTTTGTAAAATTACCTACATTCATTGAGTGGTGATGGTACAGTGCCTTGAATCCAGTTGGTCTGATCAGTAACTAAATTTATAGTTATATTTGGATGCCAATGTGACATTATAGCTTGGTTGGTCTTTTCAGCTTGCTAAAAATATGAAAAACTATAGAGGCTGTGACTGGAACTGATTTATTTGCATATTATAAAGCTATACCCTAATTGATTAATAAATATGTTAAAATTGGAAGATTTTTTTTAGAAATTATGAAGGATGGAGTAAGTGTGGAGTTCAATCCTTTTTTTAAAAAGATACTCACATTAAGTTGTTTCACAACAATCCGGATTTCGAGCCCTTTAGCTCGTCAGGTTGATGGGTTTCTATAAACACGTATACACGTAAACACGTGTTTGTAGAAACCCATCAACCTGACGATGAGCTAAAGGGCTCAAAATTCGGATTGTTGCGAAACAACTTAATGTGAGTAGGAACCATCTTTTTAAAAAAAGATTGGAAGATTTTGGATCCCGAAAATAGTTGCAGTGGTGACCACAAAAGAAAAAGTGAGTTGGTATGGGAGTCACTAGTGTCTTAAGTAAGTAGATTAAATCTGAATAATTTGAATCACCAAGAAATAGAAAGCTGTAAATATATATGTTCAGTAAATTAGAATAGCTACAGATGTTTACTGTAACAGTAAACTTATAGAAAGCCTCACTCAAAATAAAAATCACCTAGTCTTGAGTATTTGTATTCTTTGAAGAAGAAAGAAGTACACCATTTTTTTATGGATTGCTTGAGATTATGTGAGCTTAGGGAAAAAAATGGCTAGGGTGGGACATTTTACCTGTTAATAGGTTCTAGCAGTTAAGATATATTGAATATTTTAACAAAAAGGACTGGGTCATTCGTTATACATTATTGCAGGGAGGCTTATGTCATTAAAATAAATTTGTAATTAATATTAAAATGTATTTATACCCTAAAATATGTGTATATATGATTATAAAAGTAAATATAAGGTCTGTAACAATTTAATCGCAACAATTTGAATAATTGTAATGTTATACTCGCTAACTCTTCCAAAGTATACAGCTTTTTTGGATTGGATATAACATTCTAATATCTACACACAATGATCAAACATTAACCAAATTTCCAATTGTTATAAAATTTTAAATGTAATAAAAAGTAGATCACAATTCTATTAATAATGCTACGTGCTAAAAGAACATAAAACAAAATTTAGGCAACTATAAATTGTTAAAAAGAAAAAATTATATCATAATTGCAATAATTATAATTTCTTATATATTGCTCACCTCTATTTCCGTTGCACTCAAAGCAGTTTCACCGGTCAGCAGATTTTGAGTTCTCGTGAACCTCAACTTCTTAAACTTGTTTAACTGCTTACTCGAATATGCTACGTGTATCCCAGAAAACTTGCTTTTATTTTTAACATTTGGGTCTCTCTTTACAAAATATGTATGCAAATATATCGACCCATTATTTCTTAATGCCTGAAAAAATACTCAGCTAGAAACTTTAGAACTTTTAATGTCAATAATAAAGCATGCTTACTTTTGATGTGGGAAAAGTCGCTTCGAATGTATATGAACCGTCTCCGTATTCTCCGCTGACCCAGTCACCATACACTAAGCCTCGTTTCTCCCATAACAGGTACTTAGAGTTGTTATTGTCATCGAAAGTTTCTTTTTCGGAAAGAAATACATACATATCCTGAAAAAAAAAAAAAAAAAAATAAAAAACTTTACAATAATGTGCACATATAATTGTTACCATAATTGATGAATTTTCAAAATAATTGAAAGCTGGTAACCTAGGGGGTGCATTAACTGAATTTGTCTCTGGGGCTGCGGGCCGTCTAAAAAATGAGGCTATGAAATACATAAACATAGCTCTCATAATAAAACCCTTTGTTATATCAAAAAAAGATCTCCGAGGAGCCTCTTGTTCTTGATTCGGGGCTGGCGCCACACCCTGCAAAAGTAAAACAAAGAAATTAAACTGGGCAACTATCAGATACAAATAGGATTATTAACTTGGTACATAATCATAATTCTAGGGTTTGGAATCCGTTAAGATTGGAGCACTTTGCGGTTTAAGTCATAAGAGACTAGAAGGGCAGTATATAGTCTTCTTTTTCAAATGAAAGTTTACATCGCTTGTCAAGTAGTTTTTTCTGAATCTGGATAAGGATTGGGCTTTGTTAGGGTTTAAAAGAATGCCGTTATTACTTGACCACTAGTTGAGAGAATGAAGATCACGGCTGAGCAGAGAAATAGCTTCAGAGATGTTGCTTGTAGGATAATGAATGTAAAGCTGAGTGTCATCAGCACATGATTTGCGGAACCAAATGCATTAGAAAAATCAAGTAGAACAATAATAGTACAGTTATTATCATCAATGCCTAGGCGAATACCATCTGAAATTTTGAGGGCTGTCTCACAACTCTAAAATTTCAGAGGCCAGATTGAAAAGGGGAATAAAGTCATGGGAGTCAATAAATAAGGATATTGTTTAAATAAAATCTTTTAAATCGTCACTCTGATTAATCTTCTTTCACTCCCAACTTAAAATTGTCTGCTGACATACAAACTTCATAGCTAATTTATAAGGGTATTACTTTTTTTTTACAGCATCAACGGAAGATATGGAACTTTGAACTCATCATAGCACTCCTTTCAAACCGGTGAAGGGACTTTTTTCCCCTTTTTGTAACAGGACATTTTATTAATAGAACTAAGAAATTAAGATTTGTATTTAATTATTTACACTGAGAATTAGGTCATTAAGGCTTTTTGTAAATTAATAAGGACTGGGTTTGATAAGGTTTAAAATATGCCATTATTACTTGACCATTGGTTGAGAGATTGAAGAGCATGGATGAGCAGAGCTTCAGAGATGTTGCTTGTAGGACATTGAATGTAAAGCTGTCATCAGCACAAAGATGAAATGGGGAGAAATTAAGAACTAATGGAAGATCATATAGAAACATGGAAAAGAGTAAAGGTCCAAGAATGGAGCCTTGAGGTACTGAAATTGAGGGGGAAGAGTTTTTTTTTTTTTTTTTTTTTTTTTTTTTTTTTTTGTTTACGCTGGCATATTACCCATGAAGTTTTCTATTTTCATTTTACTGTCGAGCGGGATCAGCTGACCAGGACCAGGTCCCTCCGTGCGCCTAAATTTTCATGGTTGAAGGTAATCAAAAAGAAATGTATCGACTTTAGAAATCCATAGATTATGTTCAAAGCTGATGGATTGTTGCTTATTAGGACAGATTCTAAGTTTATTGGTTTGGAAATGTTTGAGAGAAGAGGAGTTAGAATTTGAAGCTTTAACTCTCTGAGTTCTGTCAGACAGAAAGGAGGAAATGAGATTAGTAGCAGTAGAAGAAAAACCAAAAAGATGTGTCATTTTCCAAATAAGCTAATTATGATTTACAGAACCGAATGCATTGGACAAATCAAGTAGAATAATGATAGTACACTTATAGTCAAAGTGTCTAGGCATGTTAGGTTGAAAGGATTGGATACATTGTATATTGGAAGGTTTAGCAGTTCCCCACACTATTCCATATGTCCAAATAAGTTTTAGTAACATTTTGTCGATTTTTTTGTTTTTATTTTTTTATTTATTGGATTCCTACCCTATAAATTTGTTGAGTAGACGGTAGCGTTTGTTTAAGTTTTTCGTTTCACGAAAGCAGTCAGATTTAGGGATAGAAACATTGTTGTAGTTGATTGTGAAAGATTTGCTTTGGTGTGTAAATGTGACATGGACGCATGCTTTAAATAATATAACAGAAATATATTCATTTTTCATTTCTACACAAATCTGCTGTACATTTGATGTGTCTTTGCAGCTATTCCGAAGGAACTGCAGAATCATGGTTAGAGGATAGTTCATCCGAATCATCAGCAAGATGCAAGGAGGGTTGTTGGTGTAGTGGGAACATCTGCAGTATAAAGGATATAGAGGATTGGTCCAAGCTCAATGCCATATGTAATAGAATGTATTCGCAGTAATCTGATCCTTATCAGACCTCAAAGAACCGCTCCGTTAGATAAGGGTGTGGAAGATTAAATAGAGGGTATTTGGATGGACACACTTTTTTGAGATTTTCAGAAAGGCTGTTTCACAATTACGAATTTTTTGGAAGCCAGATTGAAAGGGAATATAAAAGCATGGGAGTCAATAAATAAGGATATTTGTTTATATAAAATCTTTTAAATCGTCAGTCATCAATTTTTACCAATCAAACTTCTTTCACCCCCGATTTGATTTGTCTGCTGATATACAAACTTCATATACAATTTATTACATTAATTTTTTTTTCTACAGCATTAATGAAATACACGGATCTTCGAACATGTAATAAAAAAACTTAGAAAAGCATTGGTTGAAAGATTGAAAAGCACGGCCGAGCAGACAGCTCCAGAGATGTTGCTTGTAAGACAGTGAAAGTAAAGCTGTGTCAGCATAAAGATGAAACTGGAAGAAATTAAGATCTAATGGAAGATCATTTAGAAACATGGAATAGAGTAGAGGTCTAAGAGTAGTGCCTTGGGGTACACCAGATGAAATTGAGAGAGAGAGAAGAGGAGATAGAATTTGAAGCTTTAACTCTTAGTTCTGTTAGACAGACAGGAGGAAATGAAATTATTAGCAGTACAAAAAAATTAAAAAAACTGAAAAGATGTGTCAGTTTCAAAAGAAGCAAATTATGATTTACAAAGCGGAAAAATCAAGTAAAACAATAATTGTACAATTATTTTCAATGCCTAGGCGAATAACATCTGAGATTTTTAGAAGGGCTGTCTCACAACTATGAAATTTTCAGAAGCCACATTGTAAAGGGGATATACATGCATGGGATATTTGCTCAAATAAAATCTTTTAAATCGACACACTAATCAATCTTTTTTCACTTAAACTGCTTAAAAACTTAAAAATGCCGAAATACAAACTTCATAGGCAATTTACAAGGGTATTACATTAACTGCATCTTAGAACACGTCATAAAAAAACTTATGACCGTGTACCGTCGGATTTGAGCTCTCACTCCTTTCAAATCGGTGAAGGGATTTGTTTGTTGTGTAATAGTACATTTTATTAATAGAACTTAGAAATTAAGGTTTGTATTTAATTATATACACCGAGAAATTAGGTCATTAAGGAATTTTAAAAGGAGAGGTATATTTAACTCGAGAAGGGAGCGTCGGCGGCGTTTTTCTGATCGCACGTTGACATTTGATAAGCGTGATAAAGCGTTTTACAGACGACTTTACAGCATCTCAGTAAACAACGGGGTTTCAGGCGTAATTCTTTAAAAACTCAAGGTTTCGAAAAATCCGTCTAAAAATTGCATAACCTAAAAAAAACAACTGAGTACGGAATGGAGAAAAGTTCTCTTTTTTTGTCAGTTTAATTAAAAAGGAAAAGTTTAAAAAAAGAAGAAACTTCACCTCTCTGTTTTCCTGTGCGACTTGACCGTTTTCATTTTGAGATTCTTGGGCGGTGTTCCCGGCCGTGGTGTCGACTGAAGTGTCCGTTTCGGCCATCCTCCAGACTATTTAACTCGGCTTTCGGAGCTATAGAACAGTTAATAAAACACGGCGTGACTACCTGGCTGAATGCCGTCCCATTAGTTTTGCCACGAAGAACTTTTGAACGAAGCGAGAACCGGAGACCACTCGGAACACGACGCGAAATCCAAAATCATATGATTTCCAACCCGTTCACTCCTTTATCTCAGACTTGCGACTCCCCCTCCATAGTAATCTCCCTCTATCATTCACTTGATCATCCAAAGTCTACGAGCCGACCGGAATGCCACATGAAAAGACCGCCATTAGATAAATTACGATACACTCATGGACAAAATAAACGCACCATACTTAAATTTTAATGTATTTATGTTTATTCATTATTTTATATACAAAAAATAGTTTTATTTATAATTTACCTAAGTTAAAAAACAAAACAATTATTAAGTAAAGAATTTGTTGAAATCGTGTGGAGCAGTCAAGAATGAGGTAGTTTAGAAAAACACCTTATTCATTCTTTTGCTGACGTTTCGACCTTTATTCGGGTCATCTTCAGGGCATAAAGTGTGGTGTTATTTTGGGTTTGTGTGAAATCGCAAACTGCAAAACAATTTCACACAAAACCAATATGACACTACAAGAATACCACCACGCGCCCTGAAGCCCTATTAACGGTCGAAATGTCGGCAAAAAAATGAAAACATACAATAATAAATAATTTATTTTCTTATTGGGATGCTTTGGCCTGTCTTCACATCAGTTTACTTCATTTATATAAGCTTAAAAAAATAATCTGCATTGAAGCAAGCACAAGATGCCAAAGCGTCGCAGGAAAATAGTTAATTTTTCAACCCTTTGAAAAATGGATTAAACTTACAGTAGAAATAAAGCTATACAATGTTGGATGACCGTTTAATACATAAATTAAAAATGCATTTGGTTATACATAAAAAGTTGGGAAAGTGTACATATGTATGTACTTATTTTGGTGTAGGCCATTAAGAAACACAGTTAAGTTAAGAAAAAAACAGTAAATTCAAAAACAAATGAAGATGTTAAAAAAAAACTTTTTTGCCCCCTTTAATATCGATAATTTCCAACTCTGGCACGAATCATGTCCTTTAAACGCCTTTGCATTCATTGGAAAACATTCCTGATAAAATACTGAGGTTTTTCCCATTCATCAAAACGGCCGTTTCCAACTCTTCTAGGGTATAAAGACCTGGGTTTCGTCATTTAAGTTGGTCCCAAATTTGTTCGATTGGGTTCATATCTGGCCCTTGAGTTGGCCACACCAAGCACACAATTCCAGCCTTATTCAGTTAGTCAGTAATTCAAAATACGTGCTCAATGGGGCCTGTCATTATCATGCATTAGCAAGAATTTCACACCGATGTGGGGTGCAAATGGCACATCTTCTTAGATTATGTCTTGTAAGTACCTCTGTGAGGTTAGAAATCTTCCTTGGACAACAAAAAATTCGGTGAGGGCATCCAAGGAAATGCCACCCCAGAGCATCTATACCCACCATGGAACAACATGATCCAAAATACGTGCTTTATGGGGCCTGGAATTATCTTACATTAGCAAGAATTTCATACCGATGTGGGGTGCAAATGGCGCTACATGTTCTCCGATTGTGTCGATTAAGGGAATGCCACCCCAGAACATCAATGACCCTGGGGAATGCCACCTGGGGAAACATAAAGCATGGGGCGCGCGTTTGTCTTGAGTGTCTCAATATGAAATTAAGCCCTTGTACAGATTTGAGGCCAACTCTCACCTCATCAAGAGAACCTAGGTCGACCCCTTCTGGCCATTTCGCGCTGGCTGTATCCTTCCTCTAATAATTTTTACAAGCCTGACACTGTCATACTCACTCAAATGCCTGACTGAAGCCATTGAAAAAGGTTTAACAATAATAGTAATATCAAATGAAATCAACAAAGGAAAAAGATTAACTGAAGTGATCTTTAAGCATAGCAGAATGAAAGGGCATAATGGTACTTATTGTGCAAATAAGATTAATCAGTAAAAAGTAAATAAATGAAGTAACAATTATTTACTGTTTATCTTGACTACAATAGCTACTAATTGCCTGTAACTAATAAAAGATAATTCATTTAATGTTGAACTAAATAAATTGAGTGGTGCGTTAAATTTGTCCATCCGTGTACATAAACGATTATAAATTGTCTAATCTATCTATTTATCAAAGTAATATAAAACCGTGAATGTGTCGGTCCATTTTTAAATTTTATTTATACTTATGAGATGTCCTCAAAGAGCAAGAAACTAACGTCAAAGCAATACAGTAATAGTCTACAGAGCTACACATTAGCGTCAGCCTCTAGACGATGCTTTCATCATTTTCGGAAACCAGTGCTTTCTTGAAGAGAAACGCGTTTAATCATTGCAATTCAGTTCGGATAATTGAATGAAACCCAGATGCAGAATTTATTAAACGTAATATACAAGAATATGTATTTCTGTCTTGCCGGAGAGCAAGTTGAGATTTTATTTTATTCGGATAAAACTAATGGCGAGTTGTAACATCACCTTACGCGAACAGAGGTTCTACAACGTTTGGTTAAATTGATTATTTCCAAATATCTGCTTACTCTCGTGTATGTTTTTCTAAATAATCAAGCCGTTTTTCGACTAGGGATGAGTGCATCGAGATGGGGCCGATGGTCGGAGAAGTGTGAAACCCCCACATGCGACAGGCCATTCCGGCAAAAGGGAAAAATGTGAAAAAGGCCCGGATTGCACCATTGTTGACACGATATGGCTAACCAGATCGAGTCTGACCTCTTCCCCCTGGAGGACATCCCCTCGGTGGTAAAGCTGTTCAAGCAGGAGCTCGACAAGGCGGACCCAGACCTGGCACTCCTCTCCCTCATAGCGGGCGCCGTCGAGAATTCCCTCACGTGCTCCAAGAACGTGCTCACTACAGTCGAACAGCAGGTCCTAGACGACGTCAAGATCCCCAGGATCCAGCTTCACATCATAAACGCGCTGTATACAAAGTTTCACGCAATCATCAAAGGTTCCATCGACGTGACCAAATACGACAAGTTCGCGACGAGGGAACTCATCAAAAAAGTATCCGACGTCGTCTGGAACTCTCTCACAAGGAGTTATTACAAAGACAGGGCCCATCTGCAAAGCCTCTACAGTTACATGACAGGTCATTACGATATAAAGTAGAAGCATGACACCTTCATCATACTCGCACTGTCGTTAAGAAAGAAGTCGAAGACCCTTATAAAAAAATTCTAATCTAAATTTAGCCGAAACATACCGTTTATTTTATTATGAAAGAAAAGAAAGCTTTAAACCCAACCACATTCAGAAAAAAAAATTGAACCCTTGTATTTATTTATTTTCCATAATAACAGTTGACTTAAAACATAAACACAACATAGTGTTACTAACCCTTTTACACTTTTTAAATTGATTTTTTCCTTAATAGCTTGGTTTTAAGTCAAGATCTCCCCCGGGCAGATCTACGGACATAGTGTCCGTTTCAGAGCAAAGTCCTGAGTGTGCCGCACTCTACCATCCTTGATGGTGTACAGCAGTTTAGGGCCACCTGAAGTCTCGATCGAAGAAGTGATGGTCAATCATGATGTACAACGGCTAGAGACTGTCGTTTTATTGCTCTTACTGAACTGTCATTTAATGGCTTTCTTGATAGGTAGTCAACTCCAAACGTTCTGTAATGCAAGGGTAAGCACTAAAACAGTAATGAGAAAGCTTGGTAAGAATAGCCTCTAATAGCGAAGAAAGAAGAATAGAAATAAGAATTTACATTCTAAAAATAGTCTTTAGACATCCCACATCAGGTTCTTTACCTGGAGAGGCATCACGTAGAAAGGCGACTATTCTCAAATCAGCATCTCACTTTGTTGAGCAATAGAGAATGTTTGTTCTCTTCACATGAGTTTGGTTTGTGTTAATCTGATGACCAGGACCACTTTCGCTTCATGTGCCATGTCAGAGCCTTTTTAAAGAGTCAGTTATGGTATGGGGAGGAATTGACATCCATGCCGCACCAAACTGATTATCAGCATGGCTCTTTGACTGCATTAAGATACATTGAGTAAGTTCTGAAACTGACAATCAATCGTTCTCATTTTATCCACTTTCATTTCCAATCCATACCATCTTCCCCATGCTGAAGGCAGCTGCTGAAAACCAGCAGGTCTCTCAACACCTTCAACACATACTCTTAACAAACATGATACTACAGGGATAACACTACACTTTATGTGATTCATTATACCTTGATTAAATTAAAATTTATTTTAATTTTTATTATGTAATGGATTTTTGCACGACCTTCGGCTAAATACGGCAGAGCTCTAACCCCATGAGCTATCGTAACTTCTATCCCCTGAGACACCAACTGGTGTCACTGCTGAAGGTCAAGGGTTTGAAACTTGCTTGTGACACTAATTTTTCATCTCAACCGTCATTGCATAACAATTGGAAATAAGTAAAATGGATGTTTATTCTGGTGTTAAAATATAAGGTTGATTTCACTATTTCAATCCCTGGCAAAGGTTCGGTTTGCCTAAAGTTTGCTGAGAAATAAAAAGTAATGAATGAGTGATTTTCTGTAGATATAAAATGATTAATAGTTAAATATGTACATGTAATCATTCTTGGTTGTTGTTTTTTAAAACCACAGGTAATAAACTTGATTGCTTTGGAGTTGCATTTGCTGTAGTTGCAGGATGTCAGGCCCTCGGTTACAGCGATGTCCATCTGGCCTTGTCCGAAGACCATGCTTGGGTTGTATTTGGTGAGAAACTGGAAAACACGGCTGAAGTGACATGGCATGGTAAGTGATCATTTGAACGATTTTGATTAGGAAATTTGACGATTCTGATTTTTTATTTTTTAATGTAAAGGCAGCGATGACAAACGGGGACAAAGTATAGATTTGGGTGTCAATTCCCGGTCATGGTTGTATTTGAACGGTCACCCCGTTCTCTGCAACAGGCACATGGAAGTGGCAGCACTGGTCTCTTCCATCAATCCATCCCTGACAGTCACTACAGATTCAATGGAAGTGTCTATATTTCAGCAACATTTACTCTGGCTTCTTTATGACTTGGGCTATCTTGATAAATTTCCCATGGCCTTAGGTGAGTACTAATAATAATGTATAAATCACTTGTAAAACAAAAATTTGAACATCTGAAGCAATTTTTTTTTGGAGGGGGTGTATAATGCTCATTCAAATTTCAATTACAGAAAGGCAGTTTTTTATACTAAAATTATAAAATAAATTTTGTTTTTATTTAAAAGGTAATCTGGCTGAACTGGAAGAATTGAAACCAACTCTGGGGCGTATTCCCTGTTTTACAATCCTTCAACAAGGCATCATGTCATCTAGAAAGTTCTATAACAACATGCATGTATACCCATACACATATCACGCAGGATATTTCTACAGACACAATCTTTACAAACAGGCATTCAAATCATGGGCAAATGCAAGCGATGTCATAAAACAGTAAGTGAATCTATACATTATTATAGAAATTATAAGTGAAATTAATTTGATCGCTTTTTTAAAGGTATAATTACTCAAGAGATGATGAAGAGATTTACAAAGAATTAATGGAAATCGCGAATGAACTCATTCCTCATATAATGAAGGTCGTGAGTTCTGGTCACAGTGCACATTCAATACTGAAAGATCCAGAATGTTTTGCCGATTTGTTGAGGTTTTATGATGGCATCTGCCAATGGGAAGAAGGGAGTGCGACGCCTGTCCTTCACATTGGTTGGGCCAAGCCCCTTGTTAATACAATCTCAAAATTTGATGCGGAAATTAGGGGGCAAGTCAATATTACAAATGCTGCTGAGGTTTTCAACAATAACAATGACCTGTGCACAACTTTAGAAGGAAAGAGTCGTGGTTTTATCGATCTAGATACAAAGAGTGTTACAACTGATGACCTTGACCCTAAAATAAAAGCTTTGACAGCAGCGTGTGGTGAAAAAATCTTAAACCGTGATTTTCTACTCCAGGGTGGTGGTGAGCCATTCGTCGGAGAAGAGGAAGCTACGACGTCATTGTCTAAGATTGAAAAGGCAAACCCAAAACTGATCCTATACAGTCAGAAAATGCGTGGTCTTAAAGACCTTTTGCTAGCCGAGAAACTGAATACGAGTGCAATTTCTCTACAACTTACCGCACAGAGTCAAGTTCAGTTCGGCAAGAAAGGTAGAGATGAGACGTCAGTGGGATCCAGGCCAAAGAGATCTCGGCGGGAATAAAATTCGAACAAGATTTTTGAGTCATGTGCAAAACGGTTATACAGGGCAGGAAATTATACTATTAGGGTAAAGAACTTAGAATTATAGTAGAACATTCATTTGTGGTTAAACACGACCAGCCATATTTGTATTTTAATTGTTACTACTGAATAGGTGTCAATTATTCAGTATTATTTTCAGAAATCTTTCTTCTCCATTCCAACATTATTTATGTATTTTTTCTGAGCAACAGTAAGTAGAATTTATGTTGCCTCTGTTGTCTTTAGTTGTTCAACAAAAGTGTAATTTATGCTCTTTGTAAATTTCAGCATTCAGGGTGTCCTAGTGAATAATTTTTGGTGTATGTTTGTTTAGTTTCAAGGTGAAAATTAAATACATTTGAACATTGTAGCTGGTCAGTGTATTGTGTAACGATAGGCAGAAATCTTGACAATCAAATATAACCTAAATGTCAAAAACAGTTCCTTGCAGGACTATGGCAAGTATGGTATTTTTAATTTATGCAAAATTTTGATTTGAAAGACCTAAAATTGAATTTTTAACCGTGTAGCTCAGTTTAATTAGATTGCATATTGTTAAATGTAGAAAGTGTTGAATTTTAGTTTTTTTCTGAAAAATCTGTAAAGGAAAAATGATTAAAGTTAAATATTGGAAGTAGGAAAACTCAGTTTTTCTCTGTAAATAAGTAATCGATCTTTTGTTTCTTGTAAAGAGCACCCAATAAATAAACATGACTTTTAAAGTTTGAAATATGACGTTCACAGAACAAAAACATTCCAGCAAAGGCTGTCAAATCGACTAAAAGATCACGAATGAATGAACTTAGTCATAGGATTTTCATTATAACAATTATTTTTATTATTGTAATTTATTTTAAATTAGAATAAGATATGAAATGTGAACCATTTATTTATTTATTTAAATTGTTATACTGCAGTTTTTTTACTGCATTGTGTATACATTTGTTAAAATTTAATGTGCACATGATTCTGATTCATCTGTGATTTTTTGATGAACTACATTTTATTCTTTTGAAAAGAGAATGATTATTTTTATTCTTACATGATGGAAATAAATTTGTACCTGTGTTGTTAATGAGAGTCATGTGAAGTTTGTAAATAATGCTTGTTTCTCTATCTTCTTTCTTTATAAAAAAAAGTATTTATTTTTTATTTTAATTTTGAAAATGATGAGAAACATCTCAATTTGTTGTTATTTTCAGTTGACTTGTATATATATGGTTTTTTTAGGATTTTGTTTTTCCTCGGGGAAAAAGACACTGATACAGGTTCAGATCAATCAAATCCACGAGTTCTATTCTTGTTAATGAGCTATTGTGTTTCAGATGTTTAAGTGTTATGTTTGCTATGCTTGTAATTTTAAGATTTTTCGCTGTTTCCCCATTCATAGAGTGTAACATGTAAAGAGAGGGTAAAGGCTTGATGAAGATGTGGCAAGAGGACGTTTGCCAAACATCCTCCAGAAAATATCAGTATAAAAATAGTGAATCTCATTCAGAATCTCTATAACGTACATAGTATTAATGAATAGTATTATTTTTCTTAAATTATTTCTATTCCTCAGGGACATTTGGTATATGCTTTCCCATTATGAGTGTGTTTCAGTTTTGGCTTTTAAAATGGTTTACAGTCACAAATAAATAAGTGATGTGGATTGAGATAGTTCAATTAGTGTTAGGAACTGTTAATTTATTTTTAGTTTATTGTTGTGATTTATTTCTAAAGTTCAATTAAGATTACTGCTATCATTTTTATGTTTTTGGTTACAGGTTTCTTTTTTCTTTTTTTTTTTTTAATTCATGTCCAATAAATATAAATGTATTTATTTTCATTGCTAGCGTGTAATTTCAAGCAGTGAAAAAATATTTTCTGTTACAAATAGGTGCTAAGGGAAGAGACTGTAAACATAGAAAATTCAGTTCACAAGCTATAGTAATATAAAAAATATTAGCATTACAAATTTGATGATTTATTTTTCTAGTATATTACTTTGTTCTGTAAAATAAAACGTTAAAAATAATACCTTATAAGAAAGAAAATGTAGCTAAGTTTCAAGACAATTATTTATTTTTTTAACAACAGAATAATTGTAATAAGTTGTACATTACTTTGTTGTAAAATTAGAAAATGTTTGTTATAACATTATGGCTAAAAGTAGTATTTTTATCTAAACAAAAATTTAGTTATACTGTAAATTGAGCTTTGTGGTGACGGTTTTCAATGTAACTACTTACAAACCATATATTCAATTGACCATGACATTTCTCGACTGTGACTTTTTTTTAACAAATATGTTAACTTTTTGTGATTTAGCCACCAAATTGTTAACATATAGTTTATTTTAGTGAATAATAAAGTTTAAAGTGGATTTCTGAATATTAGAATATTTAAATACAGAAAACAAACTTTTTTTCTCTCAACATTACTTTATCATTCTGTATGTTGTTGTAATACAAATGATTAATAAAAACCTCTTTAGTTTTAAATATAATTTTTTATTTAAATTATATGAAGCTTTCATCACCTTTACCTAGTTCATTTGAACCCATTTTTATCAATCAATATAAAACATTTTTATATACAATTATAACATGCATAAAAAATATCCTAAACATTCTTATGATGGCATATTCGTACGAATTTTAAACTCACAGACTTACACAATTAATAAATAGATTAATAACTGGACATACAATAAAAAATAGTTCGTATTACAAAAAGTATGGAAGCTTTGACTTAAAACCTTACACTAAAACCACGAAATTCTTGTCTAGGCAGGTACTCAAATTCACGGAGTTCACACCTTTCGACTTTGCTTCCAGGGCTGCCACTTTTTGACAGCCAAGAAATCCTGTAAAATATTATAGGATTAATAAAATATACATATATTGCTAATTGTCGTTTTCAGAACAATGTGTACAGTTTTAAAGGAAAAGGTTAGTCAAATACTTTAGTGAAAAATTCCAGAACAAGAAGTCACATAAACATTAATGCATTACAAAGTCACATTAACATTAATGCACAAAAAGATTGACCCAGGCAATTACAATGTGTTGCATTATTTAATGCTTACAGTAAGCTATTTACTTCCATTATCAATTAATGTGACCTTATTCCTGAGGAACAAGTGAGTTTCTGCAAAAATAAATCTTGTACAGATAACCTTTTCATTCTCCACAATCTCTCATTACAATACATCTATCAGAAAAAATATTTATTTGCAATTTTTATTGATTTTCAAAAAGCCTTTGATAATATTCTACATGATTTCCTTTGGAGAAAACTTACTTGGATTTAGTGGCAAATAACCCAGATTAATAAAGCAGTATCTGTTTTAGCCTTAAATTAAAATGAAATGTTCTGTAGAATTTTCCAATTAATTAAGGTTTTTAGTTGAGATAAAAAAGTCAGTGTCACAAACGGGATTCAAACCCACGACCTTTGGCTAAATATGCTACTGCTCTACCATTTGAGCTATCATGACCTCAATCCACTCGGATACTAACTTCCCATCTCAACCCCACCTTTTGAATTTTCCCTCCTTTTTGCCATTTTTATCTCAACTAAAAACCTAAATTAATTGAAAGATATTAATTGGTCAAGCGGACCACAAAACTAGTGAATTCTGTATAATGAGATACCTATCTCTAAGGGAGTCCTTCAAGGTGAATCCTTTTCACTGTTACTTTTTCCATCTTTATTTAAGATATTATTTCATTTGTTAAAGAACACAATATTAGGTTATGGTGGTCGGGTTGGACAACGTCATGAATATCATCTGCGTGCTGTTTGCTGATGATATTGTATTTTTTACAGATTGCTGGAAAGAGTCTCAGTGTGTATTCAATGTTTTATCTGAATCTTGCCATTTAAATAATTTAACTATGAACATAGAAAAACAAACTTAAAAGAGTATTTCACAATTTATCTTATTGCAAAAAAATTAAAAATTTATATTATAAAAATTGACTCGTATAATATGTCAATGGTGTCACCTATCTTGATCCTTTTGGGCACCTGGGAAAATTTTGTATTGCAAAAAACAATGTTCTTAGTAAAGGGACTTGTGCCATAGGGAAAATTGAGGGAATTCTTAGTTTTTGATTCATTAATGCTTCTAATGCATTCTATGCTGCTGAATTCTGGCCATAGGACTATGAGGGAAAAATTGCAGATGAGCCTTTATGTAGTTATTTCATTTACCTCAAAACACACATGACCACTTTACCCCAGTGGAGTTTGGACTTGTTGCACAAAAGTAGTGGTCTTTTCTATAAAATGTGTGTAAAAGAGAGAGACAAGGATGGATGAAAACAACCAAACTACAGTGTGTTCATTGTTCCGCAGACCTCAACAAAAATCTCATTCAAGTGTAATCTCATTCAATAATAACAATAATGTTTTATTTATATATAAAGAAATACTTTACAAAAAAGGAGACAAACAATAATAACATCTGTCGAGTTTAGATATACAAATAAACACAAAATATAGAAGTACACATATTAAAATTAAATAAAATATTATTTTTTGATAAAATGAAACATCAATTAAAATGAAATATATCTGCTAAAAACTTTCTATATTTTAAAGCACTAATGGTTTATGAATAAAAAACATCCCAATTGTCTCTAATTAAAATGGCTATACACTGATATGTGACAGAGATCTCTGGTTGTAATAAATTAAACAAAATTCTGCCAGGTTAGGACATTTGCCTAGAGCCTTCTTACACTACACATTCACGCTAATACATACATTCACTCTCAACACATGCTAGGAGCACACAATTATCAATACTGTACCAAATAAACCATTCCTGTTTCCTCCAAAAACTGGAACGAAGGCCCAGATATTCATTGCCATGCTCAAGCATGATTCCCCATATTGAGCGGCATTCCTACACCTCTCTATAAGTTTGGCATGTTATGGTATTATACTTCAAACATTCAAATACTGCCATGTTACCAATAAACAAAAACCAACACTTTCTCCCACTAATATAAAAACGTTATTCTATTGAATTTAAATTTCCCAGGATCAGACCTCGTTCTTATCCATCCACCTGCCAAGGTTGGGCTAGGTCATTTCAGCCCCCAACACAATTAGTTCATAAATCAATTCACACTTTTATACACATTCTTTCCTATTTACATACCATTCACCCAATTAGGGTGGTGGTGTACTTTATATTCCTCCTTTATAGCTAAAACTAACCTAATTGAGGGTTGATGGGGTACTCAATATTCTGACAATACACATTCTCGCTAATAAATGCATTCACTCTAAACACATCTAGGGAATAAAACACAATAGAACAAACCTGTTCCCTCTAAAAATCAGGACAGGGAACACAGATACTCGCTGCCATGGCATGATTCTCATATTGGGAGGGGGGCATTCCTACACGCTTTCTATATGGAGCCAAGGAATTGCACCCTGCTATAAAGTGGGAGGTTTATGGGCCGACAAACAGCCGATGTCATCACCGGCTCTTTGCGTGTTTTCCTTTTTCTGTTCTTTCCTTTTGTTTTAAACTGCAGCCAATTCGAGCATATCTCTGCTTTTAAATGTATACTATGTCTAAAAAGCTAGCTCGTTTGTACCTCAGTTTGTCAAATACAGAATAGAAAGAAAACATACAATACATTCACACTCCCAGAGTACTCACGATATACCGGGTTGAACCACTCCATTCTCGCTAATAACTTACTTCTACTCTCCAGAAGACACACTCACTCTAGAATATTCGATATTCCTCGGGGCGTGCAACCTGTTGATTAGTATCTTAAGAATGAAAAGCTTATTTGTTAATTGTTAATAAACTTATTGGTATTTTTCTTTTTTTTTTAGTCAATTTTTACTTTAATTGTTTTACTGAAAACTGAACTTAATTTTAAAAAAATTTAGAAGTGTTATCAAAACAATCCATTAATTTTTTAAAACTACTAATATAATTATGCTAAAAAAGGAATTATAGTGGACATATAAATTAGAAAAATTGGTCTGTATTTGATTTCAAAGTTAGTTAATTTATTATTTAATCGTATAGAATAAATTATATCTAATTTTTTTTTTTTGGTTGAAAGTATTATTTCACCATTGCTGGTTTCATATTTTTCTTCACTGATGATGACATTAAGTACATCGAAACAACCGTGTCAAATGAAACGCGTTAAATAACGATGTCCATTAATGCCAGTTATCTTGCCAGACGGCTTTGTTGGCAGAGTGCCTCTGCCAGACTCAGTCCTGTTTTCCCGATTTGTACCAATTTTAAGATATGTATTGATTTATTTAGCAAGGAAACATTTAACCGACAGCCGTCTCTTGTCACAATCGAGAGAGTAACCGTTAAGAAGTAAAAAAGGGACAAATAGTCAAATAAGTCCCATACGAAGAGCCAATTTGGCCACGTGACAACATTCTCCTCGCCATTTGTTTGTTCGCATTCTAGATAAAATAAACTTGACTGTTATAGACTTTGTTAGGGAACAACAATGAAAGTGAAAGTCTTCTTTAACACAAAACTGTTAAAAAAGTCGAAATTTAGTCGAAACCGTGGTGGGAACTTGTTTTAAAATATTTCTGTTTAATGTTTTAAATTCGGACTAATTATTTGATATATTTATAATTTATACTATTTGATATATTAATAATTTAATTAATCCAACGTTCTTTCAAATTTGAAGCAAGTTGTTTAATTTTTAATAAACTTTTTGTTTTTATAGTGTTGAAATTATTAAGCTTATAAAAGATGGAAGTTCGACAAGATTAATCCAAGTTATGCTGAAATTAGGGCGCTTGTGGCATGGCAATCGTCCATAAAATCCATCATTGAGTTATAATAATAAACCTTTGTGAAAATAATTAAATTAACAAAAACTTTATTGAGGCAAAAATTATGCAGAGAAAATTCTTTGTAAAGCTTGCTTGCTCAATTACTGCTTACGTAAGCTCATTAAAATGCAATTCTTCCAGTAAAAGATTGTTGTTATTACGATTTTATTTTTATATTTTAAAAATTCTCTCACATGTTTTCCACGCTGGCCTTCGTGCCCTGAAGTTTTCCGACAACTGTACCCCTTTTGCTGTTTTTCACCCAACCGCTCAGCCCCAATTCAAGGCATCTCTCCTTGCAGTATTTTGTGAAGAAAACTCCTGAAATAGTGCCGTGGTGAAGAGGAAAATTATATCGGAAAATGAGAAAATCGCCTGAAAACTGACCTTGGACGTTGCCGAAGACTTCAAATTCTACGGAAACGACGGAAGGAAGATCCTGCGTGTCCATAGCGATTTTCGAGACTGAGAAACCGATTCCGTGTCTGTTCTATTCTAAGCTGGGTCCTCTCAGCGCTCTCTAATCCAAGTCAGGACCAGGAGATCCCTCCCGTAATAACGGCCCGAACTTGAAACACTACACGCCGTATAAGTTATGCCCATGCCCGATAATAAATTTAGAAATGGGGGGAAAATTCCTGTGTTTGTGCTACGATACTTTCGTCTTTTTTACCATTTATTTATAATGCCGTTGTGTATTTCGTTTCAGATGGGGTGAAGGGTCTTTCTCCAATGTCGTCACGAATCTGATAAATGTGCACATCTTTTAAAATAAAACCATCACCACTACCCGGAAGCAGTATGCATAAATATTTTAACGTAATGTAAACATACGTATTAGGTAATAATTATACAGCAGGAACACCAATTTTTCAATTGAAAGTGAACTCGTTACATTTTTTAAATTATGTTCTTGCAAAACTTTTTATACATGAAAAATTACTATTTCAACTAAAGAAAGTTGATGTGTAGAAGTTTTAAAATTTAATTAATAATGGTACAGTAATTATTTTTAAAAGTATTATACTGCAAGTATGAAACAATACAAGTCGACGTAATACCAAGTAATATTTCAGTTAGGTATATTTTTCCAAGTATCAATTTTTTTTAGGTTCGTGGAGGGGGTGAAATAAGGATTTTAAAAATCCTTTCATTCACTGCGGCCTATATAAACTGCTCAAAAATGAATTTGGATATTTGTAATTTATTCTTATTCTATTAATTTTAATTAAATTAGCCGATATATTGTTGTTAGTTGGTTAAAACAAAATAGAAACTACAAACCAAAAACAAATAAATGTTAATCCTCATTTCTATAGATTGAATAGAAAACATGAAGATTATCCATTTTGTAAACAAACGCCTTTTTTCGTCTTTTCTCCATCTTAATCCTGTTGTATTCTCTTTAACCATGGAAAAACACCATCTTGAACCAGAAGTTCGCAACTTATTGTGAGAATGAGTCATCGAGATAACCGGCAAGTCAATATTGCAGAGACAGCTGGCGTTTGTCCGAACGTGGTCTCCGGATTCCGAGAGACTGGAAGTGCCAATAGAAGGCCTGGTAATGTGTCTCAGCGCATTTCGACGCTAAAGGAGGACGGAACGTTTTACATAATGCCCGCCAGATCCTAAATGAAGTACAAGATGTTTTGGCAAGGCTTTTATCAACACAAACGACTCGTAATTACTCCAGCAACTCAGGAGAATATGGTGCAGCGAGCGCCTAGAAGGGAATACAAATTGGAATGATGTTATGTTTACCGATGAGTCGCGTTTCTGTCTGTATAGTGATAGCAGGTGTCGAAGAGTATACCGAGAACAGGGGATGCGAACAATGCCATAGTTCGAACTCCCTCCATTGCAGTTTGGAGGAGGTGGTGTAATGGTCTGGGCTGGGATTAACACTGGAGGACTAACTGGACCCCATATTGTTGAAGTCGAGCTTACAGCAGTCCGTTATGCCCAAGAGGTTATCGAGGAATACATCACTCAAACCAGGAATCTCGTTGGCAGGGATTTTCTGGATGACAATGCCAGACCTCATATAGACAGAGTTGTTCATCAAAGTTAAGTAATCTATCGAAGAAAACTTAAAAAAAAAGGAACTTTATTGTCAAACCTGTACAACGTTTAATTTTAAACCGATAGAGTGACGGGCAGAAGGCTATCGTAAGAGTAAGGCAAGGATATTTGGGGATTAGGGTTTTTATACTATTTTAAAAAATGCTTATTAAGATGATGGGCGGCCGTCTGGACCCGCCAGACTTTGCTGACGTGTTGGTCTGAGGGGCGTTTGGTTACTCCATAACTTCAATCCCCCATTGTCTCCAGACCTTAATCCCATTGAGCACATGTGGAATGAGTTGCATAGACGGCTTTTTGATCACCATCCGCAGCCAGTTGACCTGTAATAACTTGAGTGCAGCGTTGCAACATCTATGGAGTGAAATTCCTTATGAAATTAGTGACAGCCTTATTAACAGCCTAACAGGTTCACAGAGGTTTTAGTCAACAGAGGACATCATACGCGGTATTAATTGTTTAAAAAAATTATGGTGCCCAATAAACAAAATTATGGAATTAAAACCTTTTATTTTGTTATTTTTCAATGTCCCTTAATTAAATTTTCCTTCAGTAAAAAACATAATAATTTCTAATAAATTTTAATGCAATTTATAATAAAAATGCTAGGGAAAGTAAATATTATAAAATTGGCAATATCCCTATTCATGTAGCAGTTTGATATGGTATGGTATAACCATGCCACAGAACGTGAACTTTTTCTTATAAGTCGAAGCACTTTCCTAAGTGCCTTTTTCGCGCGCCTCTTTTGATGTGATTATTGCATAACCGAAGTGGCACTACCGTGACCTGGCAAATGCTTCTTATTCCCAAAGGATGTGTGCCGATGTCTCTGGCCCACTTGACATGCGTTTGTCTCTGCTTTGCCGATCTTTTAGCTTGCCTTGTACCTGGTGTTTTTGTCCAGTGTTTGAGTTTCCCTTTCCCATGCCATTTTTCCATTTCCAACTTAAGCACACACTCCGGTGCATCCCGGGCCCTTGTTGTATTGCATGAACCTCAGCTTGGATAATAGTTGGGATTAGTATCTTGGATCCAACTGTGTCTCTTCATGAAAGTTGGGATTACCTTTCTTCGTTAGGTCTTCATCATCTATGACCACTTGGCAGGGCCTATCAAAGTTGAGTTTTTCTCTCTTTTTGTCAGACATCGTTATAGCCATTTCATTTAATTTAATTCTCTCCAAAATTTTGTTGGTCTGTCGGTCCAAATGGAGTCTGTTGGCACAAATAACTTCCCAACTTACCTAAGGGTGGAAGGTTGGATGCGGTTTCCATTGCTGGTATGCATTGCCACTGTTGTATTAAGACTCGCTAGGCTTTAAGCTTAATCTTCAGTGTTTTTAGCCACCACACTAGGGATAGATATGTGACCAGGAGTCTCATCGTAGTGGTGTATAACCAACACGCCATCCTGAGGTTTATTCCCCAGTTTTTGCCTTGTCTTTATGCAGAATGTTGCCTCTGTGTTTTCTCCATTTGGACCTTTGGTCAAGGTTATACCTAGGTACTTTGTTTCTTTGAAAAAAAAATAAAATAAAATAAAATAAAGTTGAAACAATACAAGTCGAAGAAAAACCAACAGTTATTTTTCAAATAGGTATATTAAAAAAACAGTTGGTTTTTCTTCGATGTGTATTGTTTCAGCTTTATTTATTTATTTATTTTTTGAAAGAAACAAAGTACCTAGGTATAACCTTGACCAAAGGTCCAAATGGAGAAAACACAGAGGCAACATTCTGCATAAAGACAAGGCAAAAACTGGGGAATAAACCTCAGGATGGCGTGTTGGTTATACACCACTACGACGAGACTCCTGGTCACATATCTATCCCTAGTGTGGTGGCTAAAAACACTGAAGATTAAGCTTAAAGCCTAGCGAGTCTTAATACAACAGTGGCAATAGGTATCACCCGGCAACCCGAGGGTTGATGTGACCTTTTAACCTCTTTTGTGTTATAATTAACGACACTTTTCACTTATGTTCCCAGACTTGTTAACAAAAGACATTCTTTGTTATGAAAATGTAAATTTGAAACACGTTGGAGAACTGACAGGTATTTTTGTTTTGACGTGTGTAGTTCAAATTATTTTAGATAAAACGTCATGTTAAGGCTTTAATGAACAAGGTATGTTTCGGTTTTTAGCTAAACATAATCTTTAGTTCTGATTTGTCGTAAAGGTGCTTTGGATGATTAATCTGTAGATCCATCGTTTCCGATCATCACGGTCCTGTTTAACGCTGGTTTGGCCTGCCAGACGGCATTTCGCCATTTTCATTCAGAATTTTGGTCTGGTTTATTCTGATAGATATTGGAGAGAGGAGAAAAAGTTCGATCCCTGCTTAAATAATAGTTTGAACTTCTCTGATCTTCACCATCTCGCGTATTCTCATTGGTTTGGTCTAGACGAGTGCTGCCATTTTATCATATTCAGTGGTTGGTGTGAGTGATATTCTGATCAACACGAACGATAGATTTTCCCCAGGCCTCTTTTACTTTGTTTACTTCATAGTATATTCTAAAGAGTTTACGTCTTAAATTATACTGTTTAAACGGTTAATATGAAAAGCTGATTTCAATTATCGCACTTTTCCCGATCCGGCTCAAAACTCCAATTGAGTTACCGCCAGAATGAGTTAGGGAAAGGAAAAACGTCCGGCCATCAGGGTTTAAGTGGTCAGTTCCACAATGTTATGCACGTTGCTATTAATGAAAATTTCATTGACTGGTTTATGAAGAGGAAACGAAATCCTGTCGCACTCATCCTGGCGGCAATTGGGATGGCGAAGGAAGCGCGAATTGTAAAGAGCTACTTGATGAAGCTTTTGTTCTGCAATTTCCTATCAATCGTACCACCGCTCGTCACCCTTGACCCGTTTCGCAAACGCGCCGTGGTCCGGAGGGAAGAAAAACAGCAAGAAAACCTAATTTACTTTCCCGTTTTTTTATGCAGTATTGAATGAAAACCACTCTTTCGTTTTTAACACTCGTAAACGAGGATTGAATAAATATCGTTTTCTTTGAGGAAGTTTTCCTTCCTTCTTCTTCTTTTTTTTCCATTTTATATATGTGTACTACAAATTCGTCTTAATTTTAGGATAGTCTTCTTTTATTATGAAATGTAGATTTCCGTCGATAAAACTTTATATGTTATAAGTTAGGAAGGGAGGAAGAAAGAGAGAGAAGAATGAGAGATAGGTAGATAGATCTATGGATGAATGGATAGATAGATAGAAATATAGATGGATGGATGGATAGATCTTTAATAGATAGATCTAGATATGTAGATAGATAGATCTTTAAATAGAGAGATTCTCGTAAACAGAAAAGATTCTTTCGCCGGGACAACGCGATACCTCTTACAGCCAGAATGACAAAGGAGGGATCATAAAATTCAGTTGATAAGTCCAATCCTCCATACTCTCCAGACCTGGCCCCATCTAACTTTCACCTTTTCTTAGCAATGGACAATCATACGCACAGTCCGGAGTTCCATAATCTCTACCAGTTGGAAAATGAGCTGAATTGATTTTTTTAAGTCCCGGACCCAAACGTTTAAAAGAAGGGCATAACTGGGCTAGTAACCTGTAGGGAGAA